CCAATCAGGTCTTGTGTGAGTTTTGCGTTCCAATAGAAATTACGACACATTTAGCCAATCAAAACTTGTGTGGGTTTTGCGTTCCCACAGAAATTACCACTCATTTCACCTTTGGCCAGCATCATGGAACACGTCCTTGTCACCGCAGATGAGAATGGTGAGTACTTGTGCCCTCAATGCGAGGTCAAGTACACCCGCCAGGAGTCACTGCGCATGCACTGCACACGCAAATACGGGCTCGCCATCACCTTCAAGGTCAAGCGTACTGCTGCCGAGAAGAGCGAACAAAGCCGCCAGCGAAAGGCAAAGTGGTCCGAGAAACAAGCGGCAATTCGTGCCCTTGTTTCGCTTTCGACCGTTGAAGAAAAGCGCGATGCGTTTTCGCGTCGCGACGCGAGAAAGCGTGGGGTCCATGAAGCCAAGGATCCCATCGTCTACACCAAGATGTCGTCGATCCAGAATGCAGGTCTCGGAGTGTTTGCGGCTGTCCTGGTGACGTGGTCACTGCCTACGACGGTCAACTCACACAAGATTTTATTGGTTAAAATAGTTCAGGCTTTCCATTCATGACGCACCCTTATTGGTAGGAAAATTGCACTTCTTCTCTGTTTTGATTGGTTCAACCACCGACGTCGAATATTTCCGCTTGGTCATAGTACATTGTATACCATACAAATTCCAAGATGACCGCGGTCATGACCTCCGGATAGGGCGACTGATATCTGCAAAATAACAGTTCGATAGTATTACTCCAGTACGAACGGTAACGTTACATGTATTTGATTTCGTGGAATCTCATGGTTTACTTTCACTTTTGCTGTCAAGAATGTCATGGTGCCTATTAGTGATGGCTATAGTGGCTGTATGTGCCAAGTCCGTTGTGAGAACTAATCCTTAATCTTTATTATAGGCTTTCACTTGCGTGGCGGTATGTGTCACCTTCGACGACGTACTTGCCGTCATGTCCGATGATCCCCAAGGCTACGCCATGCCATGCAGCAACCGGATGTTTTGGCAACCCATCCTCGACGCCAATGGCAAGGCCGTGGCCGCTGCTCGCACCGACGGCCGGAAGCACATGAGCCACACCTTCCCGTTATGGCGTGACGATACATATTTACTCTATAGCCAGAATGGCGACCGCGCCGCCGGTGAAGCCATGATGGCCAAACGCCACGAGTTTGCTCGGAACCTTCTCTTGGCCGAATGCTACGATATGAACGGCGAATTTTTGTCCAAACTGGAGGATTCGTTGGTGTCGTACGCTACCCAACGGACGTGGGTCTTGGCTGCGCACGACCCCAAGCTGGACGTATTTTACGGCCGCAGCGTGTTCGTCGATTTGAATGCGGCGCTCGTGTCTAGCTTCTTTGGCAGCGCGTTATACATGCTGGGGGATGCGTTCTCGTTGGAAACCACGACCGCGATTCGAGATGCACTTGACGCACACACCGTCGGCCCGTAATTAGACCGACTGGTTGGCTCCGCCACCCCCTTCTGGTGGCAACTCGACGCGTCCAACTGGAATGCTGTGTGCTTCAACGGCATGACGTCGGCGATTCTGACGGCGGTGGACGACAAGCAAGTGCGCGCGGCTGCGTTGGTGGCCATTATCGACCAAAGTCAAGCGTATCTCGGGTCGTTCTTCGACGACGGCTACGGCGCCGAAGGTGTGGGGTACTACAACTACGGCTTCGAAGAGTTCGCCGAGCTTCGGGAAAAAGTATGCGACGCGACGCAAGGCACGGTAGATTTGTTTGACAACGCGAATGTGGGGACGATCGCGCACTTGTCGCAGCTGTTGGTTATGCGCAATCAAAACGTTGCGAGCTTTGGTGATGCCCACGCTGGCTTGCGCTTTTCGCACCCGTTGACCCAGTACTCGCTCTACGCCTACGGCGACACCAAGATGGTGGCTGCCCCCAACACCCGGTCCGTGCCTGGGAAACTCATGAGCCTCCTCCTGCCCGTGACCATGAAACGGTCGTGCCCGGAGCTGTACTTTGACAGCCGCGGCAGTGTGCAGTTGCGCCACGTATTTGAGCAGTCGAAAATCGCCGTGTTTCGAGGCACTGACGCGTCGCTGTTTGACATGACGTTCAAGGTGGCCGGCAACGGAGGGCACAGTCACAACGACATGGGGTCGTACAGCATTGCGTTTTAACAACACAATTGTGCTGGGGGACCCAGGGGGGCCCCTCTACTACGACGCGCAGTCGTTTGGAACCAAACGGTACAAGTCCCCGCTCATCAACTCGTACGGCCACCCTGTGCCCTGTGCCCGTGGTCGCAAACAAGAACCAAAGCGAAGCCGCGGCCGTGCAGAAGAAACACAAGTTTACACTCGCGACCACGTTTAGTGCACTGGAGGACACGGCGACGACGGACCTGGCTGCCGCCTACGCCGAGCCAGCACTCAAGCGGCTCCAGCGCAAGGTGACGTTTTCTCGGTCGGGTTTGGGCCACATTGCCATTGACGATACGGTGGAGATGCAACCTGGTGCGTCGGTGAATTTTGAAACCTTGTTTACGCCGCTGGGGGCATGGACATCCACGGGCGCCAACAGTGGCCTTGTGAGAATGAAATCTGGTGATACAGTGCTCGTGTGCATCGATGCGTCGGCGCCGTTTTCAGTCCAATCTCAAGTGCTGTCCAGCTACAACGTCACGTGGACGCAGGTGGGCGTCAAAGTGGCGTCAGTTAAACAGACTGAGCACATCAAGGTGACGGTGTTGCCAGGGTCCGCGACGTGTGCCTTGACGACCGACGAACAACTGTCGTGACGACGGTCGTGGGGGGCGATATGAAACCTTTTACTAACGTTAAGCCATATCGGCAGAAAGGAGTTGAGTTTCTTGTTGGGTAGTATCTGGGCTCGTACAGAGGATAAGCTTACATACCGGTAGTCTTACGTAGGTCTGGCTGTGATTCAAGTGGGGTTGACGACTGATACTTTATGCAGAGCAAGATCGCGAGAGTACAAGACATGATCTCCGATTTCAGTCAAATGCGGCGAATCCACGCGATTTCGGGCTGGATTACGTTTTGACGAGGTTCAGATGACCAACAGCAATACACTGTACAAATATGTCGAGAACCAGAGCCAGTGCCCTCAGCCACATCTTGGAGCGCCCGTCGGCACTTGGAAATGATTCATTTGCGGGCCGGTCGGTCATTATGCCGAGGCGAAAAGATAGGGGTCAGCTCTGTACTAACAATTCGTGACATCATCGAACTGTTATAGCTCCATTACCTGTACCTTAACGGAGGGACATGAGAACTCGAAATGGAACAGTTAAACGAAGCTTCATACTAGTACCCGCACCGTCGCCTCGCCTCGATGTTTCACGGCACTAGTACGTACTAGTATAACGCGACCAGAAACAAAAGATGCAAAAATATTTGATCAGATTCGATGGCTAAAGATGTGCAAGGGGCTGGCCGCCTCGTTTCATGTGCAATAGGTAAATCCCAGTTGACTCGTCACATTTGCTGCAGTACTATAGTAAATCCCAGGGTGAGGAATTCGGCAATTGTTGGGACAAAACCATAGAAATCAGCACCAGATTTCACGACCCATTCAAAAAGTACATTTTTTCCGTCACTTGTCCAAGCAATCATGCATAAACAAAGTCACAAGAAGCCATTGCAATCCTTCATGATGGAGACGTTGTCGTGGAGATGGCATTGTACCGCTCTCGGAAGGTCTCGTTCAAAAGCGAGCGAGGTGGAGTTGGTGAAATGGTTGGGTGAAAGAATATCTGGGTCGACATTTGGTGCGTGTTTATTCAGCCGTTTCAGATCAGCCTTGATGGTTGGTCATAAAAAATGCTTTGACTTTCTTTTGGCGCCGTGAGACAGACCACGTACCTTGAGGGGTATTAACGTCGATCATTAAAAACATTACCATACAAACATCAAGGTATTCTAATACATTTCCAAGTGATTGTCCCAACAATGCATTGTATTTCGGATTGGGTACATCCGCCACCCCAGATGGTACATACATATCCATGGATGCTCCAAGCGACGACTCACTCGACGACAAATCGAGCGTATCCATCCCACGCATTCATGGAGTTTTGCAAACAATCAAATTGGAAACCACTTCTCAATTGCCGTCGTCCAACACACACACTCACATACAACAGGCCATGAGCAAGAACACGGAAAAGTCGGTGCTCCTCAAAACTTCCTCGGATGGCGCCATCCCGCTCCGCCAAGAGCTGCGCGAACTGGCCAGCATGGCCATCCAATTGTCTCTGCGCCAAATGGTGCGCCAAGTGATGACCATCACGGACGCTGCGTTCCAAGGCCACATTGGGACCAAGCAGTTGGCTGGTGTCGCGCTCGCTGGCATGTGGATGGGGGTGCCGTCGGCATTCATCCAGTTCGCCATCCAGGCCATCTCAACCTTGTGCTCGCAAGCGTACGGCGCCGGCAACAACCAACTCGTGGGCGTGTGGCTCCAAACCGCGATCGTGTTTGCCGTCGCGGGCGCCATCCCCGTCATGATCTGGTACATGTTTGTGGGCCACATGATTGCATTCACGATGGACGACGCCGAGACCGTCGCGTACGGCACCCAGTTCGCGCGCGTGATGGCGATGGGGCTGATCCCTCAGTACATTTACGGCGCGCTGACCACGTACTTTGCCACGCAAGGGGTGATCATGCCTGCGACGTTCTGCAGTTGCTTTACCATGTGCCTCAACATTGTGTTCAACCAAGTATTTATCTACGGCGCGTACGGGTGGACCGGGCTCGGCTTCATCGGGTCGCCCTTGGCCACCGTCGCCAGCACGTTCGTGCAATTGTTCCTCTTTGTCACGTACACGATTGTGATCAAGGGGTACCACAAGCAGTACTGGGGCGGTTGGACGTGGGACTGCATCAAGAAGGAGCGCGTCCAAGTGTTTCTGGCGCTGGCCATTCCCATGGGGGCGTCATCGGTCGTGGACTGGGCGTCGGCCACGGTTGCCGGTGCATTCTCGGGCTACCTCGGCCCCAACATTGCCGCGTCCAACGCCGTCATGAACGGGCTCTTTGGCGTCGTCAACTCGTGCGTGAGTGGATTCTCTGGGGCTACGCAGATCCGCATGTCTCGGTACTTGGGCAAGGGCAGCGCCGACAGCGCCAAGCGCGTGCTGTACATGGGCGGGTCGATCGTGATGGGGTGCTCGGTCGTGCTCCTGTTTGTGTTCTTCCCGTTCCGCCGCAACTTGTTTGGCATTTGGAGCAACGACCCCGTGATTGTCGAAATGTGCTCGGACGCAATCGTCGTGTTTGTCATTTGCATCCTCGTCGCGTTCGTGCGCTTCCTCCTCACGGCGTGCATGAACGCGCTGTCGAAGGCCGACTTGAACCTCCTCGCCAACAACATCGCGTCCTGGTGCGTGTATGTGCCGCTCAGCTACGTCTTGCCCATCACGCTCAAGTGGGGCCTCGACGGGTTCTGGATTGCCGACACGCTGGGCGAGTTCATCAAGGCCATGATCCTCGTCTGGGGCGTGCTGCAAGTCGACTGGAACGTCGCTGCCAAGGAGGCGCAAAACGCCGCCGAATCGGGCGATGTTGATGTCGAAGAAGAGCAAGAGCTCAACCAGATGAAGAATGAGGCGCTCATCACACCCACGGGCCTCAAGAGCCCCGCCAGCACCCTCGGCATGACCCCCGGCCGCACCCCCACCGCCATGCGACGATCGCTCAACGCCACGCCTAAAGCCAAGCGAACGGCAAGCTTGCACGTGTAAACATTGCTTTATAATGTAGTATGGAATTGCAATGATTACGTCGACAACTTGGGTGCAACGTGCCATGCAAGCATCGGCACTGCGACCACAGGAATCTTAACACCAAGCGTATAGCTCTACGTACTTACTGTACAGTAGTAGTAGTCACACTCCATGAACCAACGACGTCGAGGTTATGTTACAGTCCTAAACAGTGAGACCCCTAGTCGTTTTGTGAGAAAACCATGCGTATTTGTCACCACGAAGAAGGCCAACCCACTTGCGAGGCACTTCCAACATCTCCCCACGCGTCAACGAACTTGGACACAAACATGTCCACGTTGTCCAATGTGGGAGCGCCAGCCTATTGCTCAACATGGACGAAGACGCCACAAACAACGCAGTGTCGCAGGTGGTCCATAGTGCGATGCAATCGTAGTGTATGAGTCGCTCAAGGCAGATGCAGTACGATACATATACTATGCCCAGTTCATAGTGACCTCCGTTACAGTATATTAACGGGAAAAATGCAAAATAACACCCATGCCGTACTTCGAACTCTGGCATGTCCACACGCGGTTACATTAGGTATACATACATTGGCGAGATCGAAATTGCCTCGCAGCCGTCGCGCCCGGCCAAGGTTGAGTAACATTGATGTCATTCGTCTGTGGGTCGTGCCTTACAATCGCGCACTTCGTTGAAATACTGCCTCGTATTGACCAACGGCGCGCGACATTGCTTTGTGAGACCAGCGAAAGGGTGTGGGCTAGCTCGACTACTCGACACATCCCTTCGTACATTTGTGCCAACTGCGCTTGGACCTGTACGAATTGGTCTTGCACGAAGCCACAGAGGTAATGAATCGAGTCCAAGCCCCTGGCCACCGAGTGGGCAAGCGCTCAACCACGGCACCCACGTCTGCCGAGGAAATCGCTTGACGGCCCACCGTTGGCCCAGACCTATTACGATATCACATCCTTCCCCCATGGTGGGTGGGTCTCGTCGGAAGGTCTCGACTGCTTTGGTCAGCAGCACGTCGGCTTGCGACCCGAGTGCTATTGACGTGGTCATGGCCGACAACCAATGACATCGTTCTCAAGGCTGCTACGTTGCCGTCGCCTGGTGACTCTCGAGCGTGCGAAATATCCACGTCTGAATCGTATCAATCACCATGCGGATCAACTCGGTGAGGTCGAAAATGCGGTTGCGGTCACTGGCCACTGTCGTGATCGAGAGTTTGCTGCTGACTTGGCCCACCATTTCTAATACATCCTTCGAGAGCGACTTGGTCAAGAAACATGGTTTCTTCCCCCTGTCCGTGAGCGCCGTGCGAAAGGCCGCTAGCCAATGCTCCACCATCTCGGACGGACTGCCAATCGTGTGCTGGTTCTTGGCAAACATGCAAACCGAAAGTATTTGTCGTGACTGAGCCCTTGCTCGTCGCAGAAGTCGTCCATGGCGTCGATGACATCCCCAAACTTGTCCGACCATGCGTGGGTGATCAGCCACTCTGCAGGTTTGACAGAGTGGTCTCCGGTTGGTTCATACGTGGTCCGCCAACGGCAGCTTGGACGCACTGGTGCATGTCACAATAAAGCGAGCACATACATCGATGGTGGTCAAGCTTTCAAACTCGTTGCGACCGCCGTGCATATCGATGGCGTGGCGGAAGCGTCAGCTGCTACGATCATTTGTTTGACGCGCGATAGGACAGTGTTAAAGGAGTCAAAAATCATTGGCTAAAATTAATGTTACCTTTTGACTATGATTTGTTGGAAATTGATTTCATCGCTATTGGGCAAATATTAGCCAATCCACTCCCACCACAAGATGCGATCATCGATTCTGCGGCTGATTACGACCTGTCATCAAGGCCGGAAGGAACGCACAGATACATAGTTCGACGAGGCAATGAGTAGATTATGAATCGTTTTGAATAGCAACCACTATGCAATGATGGGGACGCAGGGGATACTCCTTATTGTGTGTACTACTATTACTAGTATAGTAAGTCGAAATTCGAAGAGACGAGTCAATGTAATTATGCGAATAAATGGAGAAGGTTGGCCAGAAAATCGTTCCAGAATATTTTTTTAATAAATGTCCCACCTCCAAATTATAATAATCGGACTATGAACAGGACAATCAAGTATACAATTGAAAGGTAATATCACTATTTCTCACGACTTCATTAAATGCACGTGGAAACTTTTTTTATTATATAGGCAACCGGAAAATGATTCCACCGTATCCGGAAGAGCCTTGCTCTGCCAAGAAAGCACTCACGATTCAGCGTGGCGTCCCATTTCTTGGAAACCCTCCACCGCGCCACACCAGCAACTCTGTGATGGCGTCTATGACCGTTTCTCCATGCCCCCCTCGTGAGTCCTTGAAGCGAACTCGCATGGTGACGTCACCCATCGACTCCGGCTTCCCTGTGCTGAGCGAGGACGCATCGCGAATGATCAAACGGCGCTGCTTTCCGCAGGTCGCCCCATCCGAGGACGACCTGCCCAAGTATTCGCAGCGGCAATTCGAGTACATGGAACAGGCGAAACACGCGGACTTAAACCGACTAAGGTGAGGAATCCCTCCAACTTCCAATTCATCGATTCTTTCCAGAGCCTCATCCTGATATCGCATGTAGAACCGAATGTGAACAAATCCTCTTGCGCAAAGAGAAAGACATGCAGGAGATGCGCGTGGAATTTGACCGCCTGCGAGAGATGTGCATGGGACAAGCAAAGGAATTTGAAAAGATCCAAGCTGAAAACAAGATCCTTCGACGTGCGGTGACCATCCAAAATCAACAGAAGGAAGAGGCGACACAGGAGAATGTTGCGCTGAAGCAACTCGCCCACCAAGCCGCCGACCACATCAAGCGCCTCGAGCAAACGAACTACGCCCTGCGCGTCCATCTTCACACCAGCAGCGCCGGTGGCGCGGCCGCGTCGAGCCATTTCTCGTCCGACGTGTACTAATCCACCAACCACCACGCGCACCCGCCTAACGTTTTCGGTGTCCATCACCCCGTCGCTGCCATCCCCTATTATATATTTCGCCTGAACTCACTCAGCCCTATCCACTCAACTGTATCACTCATATTAACGAAAGAATTTTCATCACATTGGACTCTTCCCCCATCAGCGACTTCTGTATGCGAGAGGATGGATACGTGTGCTTAAAAGCTGCTGCAGCAGTACGAACTTCTGGCGTTGCCCTGCTTGGACGCGCTATCCGCCGCCGTGGCGCGGAACACGTCTTTCCGCGGGTCGACTTTCTTTTCAAAGATATCGCGGTGCTGCAGCACGGCTGCCACGAGTGCCTTGTTGGCCTCGTCGATATTCTTGTTGTCCTTCGCCGACGTGGCAAACCATCCGGCAAATCCGTTCGTTTCGCAAAAGTCGTTCATGAACTCGTGGTCGACCTCGCCTGCCAGGTCAGCCTAACAAAGCACCATCAATATATATATTGCCATCGCCATGGAAGGACCGAGAATGTACTTTGTTGCCGCAGAGGACCACGGGCAACGGCTTGCGGTTGGGCAACTCGACTTTGGTATCGATTTCTTTCTTCCACTGCGCACAACACCACACTTGCATCAGACTACTACTGGGATACGCCAACGCACACGAATAAGTAGTACCTTCAACACGCTTTCGAACGTGTCCTGACGTGACAAGTCGTACACGACAAGAGCCCCAAGGGCGTCCTTGTAGTACACGCGATTGAGCGCTCGAAAATGCTCTTGGCCGGCAATGTCCCACAACTGGAGACGCAGCGTTGTGTTCTGCACCGTCACCGGCTTGAGCGCGAAATCGACGCCAATCGTCGTCTTGTGGTGCTCCGAGAAGACATTGTGCACATACCGCTTGATGATGCTCGTCTTTCCTGTTGCCGCATCCCCCAGCACCAGAACTTTTACCACGGCGTCTTGGGCCGCCTCGACGCGGCCGCCATTGTTGGTGGTCGAGTTGCTCATTATCGACTCACTTCGGATCGCGTTTTCCTTCTTTTGTGTTATCCGGACGCCAACTGGCAACATTGCGGCCAAAGAATGTAGGTCTATCACACTATTTGTGAACACTCCAAAACTGAATAAAACGTCCTGGTTCCATCAAGTGCAACACTTGATACCGCAACGCTGTGGTGTAAAGGCGATGTCCTGACCAATCATAAGATTCATGGAAGATCAATAGCCAATCAAATAATGTTGCCTTGATTTATGCATTTAACGGTAAGAATGTATTTGTGAATTCTTCGCATATTATTATTGTTGCTTTTATAGCCGGCTAACAAAACCTCGTTAATGCTCTTCGTCTTCCTCCTCGTCTTCCTCCTCTTCTTCGGCGACGACTCGCACGTCTGCCGCTATGTGCACTTCGAACCGACTGGCCCATTCCTTCATCAACGCCTCCAAGTTATGCTTCCGCTTCTTGCCATTCACTACGAGTTTCACGCGCAACCGATGGATCACTTGGTTTCCTGGCACCGTCAAGCAGCATGCCGACGCCGACGCGTTGGTATCGTTAGGCCGCAGGACACACAACATGACCGAGTCCCCGATGCTGTTGTCATACCAGACTTGAGCAGCTGAAAACGGAAGGTTCTCAACATCCACATCGACTGGGTAGCCGCTGAATTCGTCTGTTGTTTGGACAAGCAGCGAAATCGCGTTCACGTTGAGCTCGACGTTGCCGGCTACTTCAAACTGCACCGTCTGTTGGTCGCGCAGCACTGTGGTCCACACTTGCGCATCATCCACCGTTTCGGTCCACGCAGGCAGCGGGTCGTATAGCCATCGCTTTGTGCACTTGAGTCGGTCATTTGTGGCGGGGGTGCCTCGGGTGTGCTGGTGCAGCTCGTCGTCCGTGAGCAGACACGTCGCCAAGCTTTCGCTCAACTTGGACTCGTCCAAGTTGGTCCCAATGAACACAATTTCTTGCTTGCGGTCGCCGTACGGGTGCTCGAAGTCGCGCTTGATGTCTTCGATATCTGACTCGTTGGACACGTCCCAGTCTGCTTCCGGCAGCGCGCACCACCACGGCTGAATGGGCGCGATGGACAAGAGGCGGCCGTGGTGGTTCCACTCGGCCATCGTGTCGTCTCGCCCAGCGATCCAGCAAAATCCCTTAGACCGCAAGATGTCGCCATCATCGGGAGTCTCGTTGTTGGTGGTGGCGGAAGACGAAGGTGGTGTGGGGGCGTGGTTGTCAAAGTGACCAGCCATGTTGAACCGGAATCGACGATTCGCCCACGCGTGCAGTCGCTGGGGGTGGAACGGCCGCCGCGCACGAAACACAAACGACCCGATGCCGTACTCGTCCTTCTCACTCACGGCTTCCCCACGGAGCGAGTCCATCCACCCCGCCGACGCCTTGGCCGTCTCCAAATCAAATCGCTTCGTGTTGAGGATCTCGTCGAGCGCGACGACCGACTGTGTGGTCTCGACGACTTTGGCCGTGGGGTTGAGCGCCTGCACGAGCCGCAACACCGTGGCGCGATCGGCCTCGGACGGCACGAGGTCCATCTTGTTGACGAGAATGACGTTGGCGAACTCTACTTGGTCGATGAGCAGCTGGCTAATCGGCTTGGCGCCTTCGGCCTGGTCGTCAGTGGCTTCGGTGGGGAACGCTTGGTCGAAGCGATTGGTGGAGCGAAGCATCGTGGGGAACTCCAACGCGTCCAGCACCGTCACGCACGTGTCGAGCACGGCCAGGTCCCACAGCATGTCGGCGCCGTCCCCGGCCAACTCGGCCGTGGCGGGGTCAAAGATAAAGCTCTCTGCGACTTGCAACGGCTCGGCAATGCCCGTGGATTCAATCACGAGGTAGTCGAACGCGTGCAAGTTCTGCAGCTTGGCGATTTCACGGACGAGGTCTCCTCGGAGGGTACAGCAGATGCACCCGTTCTGCATCGACACAATTTCTTGCTTGGTCTGGACCAGGCCAGCCGCCGTGTGGATGAATTTCGCGTCAATGTTGAGCTCGGCCATGTCGTTGACGATCACGGCAATGCGCAACTTGTGGTCGTTCGACTGAAGAATGTGCTTGAGGAGCGTCGTCTTGCCCGCGCCAAGGAAGCCGGAGAGCAGCGTCACGGGGAGCCGCTTAGACTTGGTCTTCTTGGTCGTTTTGGTCGTCGTCGCTCCCTTGGTCTTGGCTTTCGAGGACCCGCCGCCTTCGTGGTGCTTTTTGTGGTCGCCAACGGCGTGCTGGTGCTGCTTGTGAGTGTTCAATGGCGCCATGACGAACGAAAATCTGAAAATGACTGCCTGGTGTGTGTGATCTACGACGTCGCCCCTTTTGTGCATGGTTCCGACGGCGGATAAAGTTTGGCTAGCGTGAACCGCCGTCGGATTTATCAGCTGAACTGTGACCATACATGTGGCAAATATGCCGTCGGATAAAACTGGTAGATACTACTCCGACGGCGGTTGCATTACGCGGACAATAATATACTCGTACTGGTACTGTATGAGCAAGACAATTTATTTACTGTACTACTATTAATATTAATAACTGTACGTAGTATTATACGCTGATGTCGTCGATATAAAGGGTACAACAGCAAACACACAGGAATAATCATAAACTTCCACAAGAAATACAGTAGTTTCCGACACCATGCCAGGGCCACCCAATTGTAGGTTTAGAGATTAAGACTCCTCCTCCTAGGTACTTAGTCGTGAGATTTCATGGACACGGTGCATTCACCCTTCTGTTGCAACTTCAAGTGACCCCCGCGAAGCAACTCGCGCATGCTCCAGCCTTCGCCCAGCGGGAGTCCCGTGTCGGCCCGCCAGCTCCAGAATGCCCACCCCCCCTTGGCTTTGTTCACCGCATCGAGGTACGCGACGGCGTAGAGCTTGACTTGGGCTTGGTCTTGGAACTCGACTTTGGCCGAGTCTGGGTGGCCGAGGCTCCACTCGCCAATGAAGAGCGGGTTGCCAGTCCACTGAGAAATGTCGCGGCCAATGTTTTCAGTGCCTTGGGAGATTAATTGGGTCAGCGGTTGCCCTATATCACAAATCCAAATATATCAGTCTTTTCGACCAAGAGTGCTGCATTTCACACCTTCGTGCCCCCACTTGAGGTACTTGTGCCAATCGTGCCACACATTCTTCTGCCGCAAAAATGTCGGCCACACCGACGCCGTCGGCGATTGCTCCGTCAGTAACGGGGCCACCACGAGCACACAGTCGTTGCCGGTTTGCCGAATGCGCGATACCGCGGTAGTGTAGTACGCATGCAATTTGGCTGTGTCGACGCCCGTGTTGGCGGCGGGGTTGCCTTCGGGCTCGTTCAGGAGACTCAGCCCCAAAAAGGCTTCGTCGCCTTTGTACCGCGCGGCCAGAAACTCCGCCACCTACATGCCGTTTCAGTTTGCATTTTGTAAATACTGCTAAATAGTAGTACCTTCAACGTCCGTGCGATATTCCCGTCGTCTCGAGACCAGTTTGCTACATTCAAGGTCGGGGCTGCGCTGTGGTCCCGACCGTTTTGAGACCCCGGGGCGGCGTGGATGTCCACCATCACTGCCACATTATACCGAACTGCCCAGTCCTTGATCAGCGTGTCCAAGTATCTACATAACGTGACCATGAGTCATATGTGACAGTCACGGGCGTCGACGTACGCGAGTCCTCCGGGGGCGTAATGTTTCCAGTCGTCGTTCTAGCAAGGGCAAAGTCCATAAAAAAAGACTTGTAACATCAGGGAATGGGTCGTACGGTCGAGTCGGGCATGATCCACCAGCCCACTGGAACGCGCACCACGTTCATGCCGAACGCGGCAATTTCGGCAATGTCGGCGGCAGTGATGAACGTGTCGCGGTGAATCTTGAAGCGACCATCCGCTTTGTCGTGGCCTAAGAACGCCATCGTTTGGTGCTCACCCCCAACGGCCACCGCGTCGGGTACGCCGACCCAAACAGGCGACTGCTTGGACATCCACGACTCGAGTACGAGCCAGCTACCGAGGTTCACACCATGCGCAGGAACCGCCCCACTTCGAATGGCCCCCTGGACATGCGCTGAAGATGTAGGCAAAGCAGCCAGCATGATCGTCGCCACAAGCACTAGGAACAACATTGCAATCCCTGGCAAATTGGTCAATGCCACCACATCCTTTCCAAGCGCTGGTGGTTGATTGACTTCATCCTGTTGGACAATAATTCCTCATTCGGTGTTTCTGGACGTTGAAACGAATTGGCGCGATGAGCCAGATTCCTATTGACCTGCCAACACCAAAACTACAACGAGATAGCTTTGCATCTAGCGCACTTTGAATATGTGTTTAAGTTAGTTGTTCAAGGGAAAAGAATGCAGAACCGTTGATTATTGCTCCAGCATTCCCACAAAGTCATGGCCAACGACATTGACGAATTGTGGATAGGTTGGGACTACTCTACTCGCGAAACTCTAATGTGCCCATCCCCACAAGTGAAAGCCCAGCTGCGACGACGCTGTTATGCAAACGTGTATTCAATATAAAATGCTCCTTACTGAGGGGCCACGACATAGTGATCGTGAGCTACGGGTGGCTGGGGTACACCACCACCATTGACGACCATGCCCCTGGCGACGCCCTTTTCTTGGGTTTGCTGGCACGCAAAGTTGTTGAAGATCTGCTCCAGCGTCGTCTGCGCTACCGTGTACTCCTCCACGTGCAGATCGCGGCGACACCCTTCGATCAACGAGAACACGGCGCTCAGCTTCAACGTCGGACTCACGAGTTTGAACCGACTTTGGTCGTTTTGTCGCTCGAGCAGCTGCGCGGTGCCCCCGAACGACGTCGTCACGTGCGACGAAAACGAGTCGAACCGGTCCTCACTCAGCCACCACGTGCAAAAGTCCTTGGCGGAAATCGCGAGGTGGCGCTCGAGCGAGTCGGCTAGCACGTACCCCGTCGGGTGGTTGCCGTCGATGGACGCCGCGCGGTGGCTCTTGCCAAGGCGGGTACAGGTAGCCTGCAGCGTCTCCTTTGTGACTTCGGTCACGCCCTTGAAAGCGTCGGCAGCCATACCCGCCACCGCGTCCGACGTCACGGCCGCCAACTTGATGTGCAGCATCAGTCCGTCGCCAAAGCGGTTCTTCAGGTGCTGGATGCTGCCCACACATCGCAGCCGGCCGCCCACCATGATGCCGACGCGGGTGCACAGCGCCTCGCACTCCTCCATGCTGTGCGTGGTCAGCAGAATCGTCGACTCTTTGCTGCGCGTGGAAATGTCGGCAATGACATCCCACATGAACCGACGGGACACGGGGTCCATGCCCGTGGATGGTTCGTCCAAGAAGATGATCGGGGGCGACCCAATCAGAGCGATCGCCACCGACAGCTTGCGCTTGTTGCCGCCGCTCAACGTCCCAGCCAACTTGTGCTCAAAGTCGTTCAAGTTCATCTGGTCCATTTTGTCCTTGACCGTGTCGCAGATGCGTTTGGATGGCACGCCCTTGATGGACGCAAACAGTTCCAAGTGCTCACGGACGGTCAGCAAGTCGATCAGTGCGTCAAACTGTGGGCAGTACCCGATCAGCCGACGCACTTCGAGCTGATGGGTCAAGATATCAAACCCCCCGAGGAGCGCTTGTCCTTTTGAAGGCAGCACATCCCCCGTGAGGATCTTCATCGTGGACGTCTTGCCGGCGCCGTTGATGCCCAAGTAGCCAAAGCACTCGCCTTTCGGCAACGCCAGCGACATTTGGACGATCCCGACCTTGCCCCCTTTGTACACTTTGCGCAGATTTTTCATCACGACGGCGTCCTTGTCAGCAGCGCCACTCGCGATCCGCGCCTCTTCCGCCTTGACGTCGTCATCCACGTCGTACGGCGCATCCACAACCTGCGGGTCTTTCATGATGGCGGCTTTGATGCTGGGGAAGCTCAACGCGTAGTCGATGCCGATGGCAATCAGAGGAAACACAACCGACTCGACCGCCAAGTATGTGACTTCCCACCCCACGACTTTGGTGTCGAACGCCGTCAGCCCCGGCACGTACCCGTCGCGGGAGAACGTGGCGCGGATCGTAAAGATGGCCAGCGAATTCAACCCGTTGCCGACGTTGAACAGCGGCGAGAGGCGCCACACAAACTTGAGCGACTTGTTGAGCTCTGTGGTGCTCGAGACCACGTCCAGCACAATCGACACCGTCATGAGCACGACCCCTAGCATCATGTTGATCATGATGATTGTGGTTTGCGAACTCGACGCGTCGGTGAAGATGTAGCTCAAGCAGTAGCACATTGAGATGAGCGAAAACCCGAGCAAGACAAACAGCACTGTGAGTGCCGCGAACGGCGTGCCGGCGCACGTCGAGCAGGCATGACCTGTGAACGGCGTGATGTCGAAGGCGTAGATGGCGAGCAGCCCAAATACACACGGCACCGAAAACAGGAGCATGTCCCACGCAAAGTTAGCGAGCCAGAACGCCGGCAAACTCACGCCGCTGACCAACTGCTGGTGCTTGGAGTTGTGCGTCGGGTGCTTTTCGCTCACCAAGTAGGGCACAATCGACGCCGAAAAGAAGCAGAACGCCAGCACCACACAGATGGACGTGGCGAATGAAATGAACGTCGTAAACAACGTCTTGGTCATGGCCGTCAGCGGCAACGGATGGCTGTGCACGACCAGTGTCGCAGATGGCGATTTCGTCACCATCTGGTACACGGCTTGGTCCATGAGTGCCTTGTAGTTGGCGGCGGCATGGGGCGACGACGTGTTGACGGCAATGGCGTACCCGACTTCGCCCGTGGTGCTCGATCCATGCACGATGTATGCGCCGTACTGCCCCGCCGTCGCCTGCTGGAACCCCCGCGTCCACACTTGCTCGCCAGATTTGAGGCAGAACCCCGTCGTGTCGGACGGGGCGATGGGTGGGTTGTTATAGGTCACTTGAAACACCGTGGGCGTGGGGGACATGTACTCGTCGCGGGGGAGGAGGGTCACCTGACCCGCCGAGAAGGCCGCCGCCAGCGCCGTGCACCACCCGTTGTCGTCGGCCACGCAGTAGACCGGGACTGGCGTCTGCTGCTGCAGCGTGTAGTTGCCCAGTCCGAGCCGGATGGGCGCGTCGTTCTTGGTCAGGGCGCTGAATTTGAGGATGGAAATACCGAGAATGATAAACGCGATGGGAAGCAGCGCGCCAAAGAGGACGATCTTACGGTCGCGTCGGGCGGTGCGCACACGTTTCTTGAATAGCGCGGCGAAGTGGATGAAAAACATGGCAATGTGTGACACGGGCGGGGCGTTCGCGTCGATCTTGTACCCCGTCGACGGTTTCGCCCCAGTGGGTTTTGACTGGAGGGTGTGCTGATTGTGCTCGTCGCCCACTTCGGCCACCTTGATGAACACCTCCTCCAACGTTGTCACAGAAATGCCGTACGAGAGCACACCCAACCGAGCCAAGTTGGCGTCCAGCTCGACAAACATGGGCGCAAACAAGTGCGAGCAGTCTAATGGGAGCTGAAACGACACTTCTGTGCCCACGTTGCTGAGCACTTTGGCAGTGTCGACGTGGGATCGCACGAACGCCATCAGCGCATCAGTGTCGCAGTCATCCGTCTTGACGAGCGAAAAGTTGTAGCCGGCGCCGTACCTATTCTTGAGGAACATGGACGACCCACAGCATCGCAGCTCCCCTTCCGCCATGATGGCAATGCGGTCGCCCAAGATATCGGCTTCGTCCATAAAGTGCGTCGTCAACACGATGATGCGGTTGTATCGGTTGTTGAGGATGATTTCCCAACTGCTGCGACGGCTGTACGGGTCCATGCCAGACGTCGGCTCGTCCAGAAATACCACCTGACTGTCGCCCAGCAACGCAATCGCTAGACTCAACTTGCGCTTCATCCCGCCCGACAAGTCGCTGGTCCTGACGTGACGCTTCTCCGTCAGCCCCACTTCGACGATCTTGGCGTCCACTTCCTCCGTGAGCGCGGCGCCCCGGAAGCCCTTGATGCGGCCGTAAAACATCAAGTGCTCCAACACGCTCAGCTCGGCGTACAGCACATCGTGCTGCGGACACATGCCCAGCGAGTGGCGGATTTCCGCGAGGTCGTTCTTGAGCGACAGCCCGTTGATCGTGGCGTCGCCGCTCGTCGCTGGAATCATACCCGTCAGCATGGAGATCAGAGTCGTCTTGCCGGCGCCGTTGTGCCCCAATAAGCACGTGATTTGGTTCTTGTACATGGTCAAGTTGATGCCTTTCACCGACACTTTGATGCCTCCGGGCACGGCAAACTCCTTGCGCAGCTTGGTGATCTGCAGCGCGTCCCCCGTGACTTCTTGCTGGCGCAGCTCGGGCCCGACGCGCTCGACCGTGTCGACTGAGCGGCCTTCGAGGTCGGCGGCGATGTTGTCGCCGACGTGATGCTTGTCTTGCACGCGCATGGCGCCGCGGCCAAGCACTTTGCGCCAGTACTGGGAACTCACGGGAAAGTACCACACCTCGGGCACGCCATAGTCTTTGGGCACCACGCGCTCCAAGTACAACCCCAGGAGCGTGTACACGACAATGTCGAACGCCATGAACGCCAGCGCCGTGGCGAACTTAAAGTTCGCGTACGGTTCGTTCACGTTGGCAAACGTGATGCCAAGCGACCCCGCTTCGGCCTTGGCCATAGTTTGAACCCCAAATGCCATGGCCACGGGCGCAAAGATGCACGCAACGTTCTTGGAACGTTCCGACGACGTGTCGCTAAACCCTGACGTGATCAAGTACATGACAAAGAACACGACGATGCCCATGTACGTGCCAAGGCGGGACTTCGAAAAGATGGAGCTCACGAGAAAGCCATATGCGAGCACGCTCCACCCAAAGAGCAGGAAGAAGAGGAAGACCAGCAGGGGGGTGCAGTGGGGGAACAAGTTTGCGCGACTGGCGCCGGTCTGAAGCACGGCCGACACGACAAAGATGGCGCCGTAGGTGAGGTACCACGACCAGATGATCGAGTTGTCTTGGACGCCGAGGATCTTCATGAGTTCGCGGCTCTTGTTCTCCTTTTCTGTGATGAGGGCCACCAATATGGACGAAATCGAAAACAAGTAGGAAATGATAAACACAATCGCAAAGAACGACTCAACTTGGGCGTAGAATGGCGACGATATGTAGGCAGCGATCGGGAATGGAAACACGCGCTGGCCAAAGTACGACTGCGGCGCCTGGCGCAGCGGCACCAACAGCGCGGCCTTCGCCGCCGCGGGCAAATTCTTCAAGTCGATGCGCGGCAGCATGGGCAGTTTGTTGAAAAATACCACGACCAGCTGCAGCACGTAATCGTCTTGCACTTGCTGGAGCAGGCGCGCGTCGAGTGCGGGCGTCGACGCCGCCTTGGCCTGCACCTGAGTGCAAGTGCCGGCGGTGCGGGCGCCGTCCCAATCCGGCACACACGTGGCGAAGCGGGTCACGAGCGTCTGCAGCGTCAGAAATCCTGTCATCGTGTACTTTTGGTACATGGTGATGTCGATGTTCCGCTGGAGGGGGTTGGTCCCCTTGACGTCGGTGCGGGGGACGTCGCCGGGGATGCCGCCGCGGCCCAGCGTCGAGTTGAGGCGGAGCGAGTACTCAATCGGGTGCACCGAGCCCAGCTGCTCCTTGGACGGAAACGTGTGGAATACAATCGCGGCTTGCACGACCGGATGCGCCAAGTCCTTGCCGTACCCGTCGCTCTGAATATATGCTTCCAATGCGGCTTCGTCGGCAAAGAAGAGCGTCGAGTCCGCGAACGACGGGATCGTCGGCGTCGCAAGAAATGATTTGGCCGTGAGCTCTACGCGGGGGAACCAAGCGTTGATTGTTTGTGCAAAGTAGTCGCGCGTGAATGCATTGTCGGGCACAATCGCGAGTTTGTACGGCACGACTTTGCCGCGGCACTCGACCGGCACGGCCGTGGGGGACGACGGGTCCGTGGACACCTTGCCTTCAAGCACTACGCGCGAGCACTGGAACGTGTCGACCTGGTTGAGCTCGCTCATGAGCTTGCCGTTCTGGTACGCCGTCAGCGCCATGTTGACCAAGTACCCAGACATGGTGGTTTCCGTCGCGTAGTACGTGGAAAAGTTGAACGCGGTGCCGCTGATGTTGAGCGGGATCGTCTCGAACAAGGCGTGCGACGTGCCGGTGGTGATGTCCGTGGGCAGGACCTGGGTGTCGCTCCATCCCGCGGGGACTTTGACGTCGTCCGTGAGCTTCTTCAACCCCCCCAGAAGGATGATGAACAGCACCGGCACGATCATCTCCAACGCCCATTTCACAGGGTGTTTCTTCTTGAGCAAAAAGTTCTTCCACAACAACGTGGCGATGTGACTTCGCGGCAACCGCGGCGGAGTCGCCGACTGCTTCGACGCCACCCCCTTTCCACCAGGCATGTTTGACTGTGATCGTGGGGCACTCTATGAGGATAACTATTTCGGGACACGAAGCCACCTGAAGGCGAAACGCCGAGTGCAAAGTGCTCCATCATGTTTTCAGTCTCGAAACGGTCCGGCACTTCACTCTTTTCGTCCGGTTAACCAACCACGTACCGTACGGTTAAGATAACAAACCCTTATGAATGGGCTGTGTTGCTGCTGTACGTAGCTCATGATGGCCAACACAGCAAGCCAAAGCCCCAGACGACGTCGCTCCTCACATTGCCATGATTACACCAGAGTCGTTTCAACCTAATCTTGCAGCATAGATGGAACGTTCGACTGATCGCAAAATAGAATGCAAAGCTGTCCCATACTGCAATTTTTATACGTTTTGATTCGTTAAATATACTTGATATTCAACGCACTACACCAATAGCACAGTTGATATGGTATTCATTTTATCCAATCCGAAAGTTGTATAAAATGAAAATCACTTGTATTTTGACCAATCGAACTGAAATCTATCGTCCATACTAAGCGTATGATGTTTCAAGGGTAACTTTGCAAAACTCGACGCGGCGGCGGCGGCGCGGGTCGCACGGCATGTTGAAGGGTGTCGTCATACGGGTACTCGTCATGGCTGTCTCAAACAACTGGGTATGGGATCAAGAACCCCTTCCAGCGCCATTTGCACACGAATATATGGTGGATGTACCAACTGCATATGTGGATCACGCCGCGGCGGCGTTCTATCCCGTTGTCATGATGCATGGGATGAACGACGCTGGCCACAACGGCCACATGGAGCGCATGCGGCACGTCGTTTCCGATGCACTCGATGGTGTGTACGTCACGTCGGTGCAAATAGGTCGCAACGTATGGGAAGACGAGTACAACAGTGTTCATTTGACCATGGACGAACAAGTGGCGAGGTACGATCGGTGCTTTCAACCCCGTTGAGTGTCTACTTCATGTAGGTTTGCCGCCATTGTCGGCCGTGACCCCAACCTCCGGCATGGTTTCCATGCGATTGGGCTATCTCAAGGAGGCCTCATCGTTCGCGGCTACATCCACCGGTTCAACGATCCGCCCGTGATTGGGTTCTTGGCCTGCCATTCTCCGCTTGCTGGGATCGGGTCGCTACCGATATGCAACCCCGCCGACTTTTTGTGTCGGCATCTCAACAAGTTCTTCGGGGCGTTTGCGTATTCCTCCGAATTGCAACGTAAGGCCAAGTAAGTTGCATGTTGAACACCTCGCCGACATTGTACACTTCGTAGGCCAATTGGCCCAATCCAACTTTTACCGGGACCCCACTCGCATCCCAGAGTACCTCGAGCGCGGTAAGCATGGAACTCGTACGACATAATGCGTTACATGCACGGATAGTCAAGTACTTGCCCGACATCAACAACGAACATGCAGTGAAAAACGCAACGTACAAGGCCAATTTTGCATCGCTGCGCCAGTTAATCATGGTACGGGCACTTCAAGACACACAGGTACGCCGTTAGTACTACTATTACAAAGATTCCAAGCTACAACCATTGATAACTGACGCGGCAGATTGCGCCAACTATGTCGTCTTGGTTTGGTGCGTACGAGGACGGTGGGTGGAATGTGATCTTACCGATGAACGAGACGACATGGTATCAAGGGGATACATTCGGGTTGAAGACGCTGCACACGACAGGTCGCCTGGCCATGTACGAGACCCCTGGCAACCACCTGCAGTTCAGCGACGACCTGCTCGCGACGTGGGTGCGGACGCACTTTCGACCGCCTTCAATGCAGAGAACATTCGATTAGATTTGATGAATATAAATTATAAGAGGGGATTTGTTGTGGACATTACAAAAAGTAAAAGGATTTCGGTGGAGATATCTAACACCATGCGCGCCGGAATCATGGGAGGATACTTGTTGGCGGCGTCGGCTTGGTCTGCCATCTTGGACGTGCCTCATGGACCAGCTATATGGCAACCAGAATCATTCCTTGTAGACGACCGCTTCATCTTCGACTTGGACCGAGACTATCACGCAGGGAATGATACCCCGAGTCTCGCCAAACCAGAATTTCCCGTGGTCATCATGCATGGCATGGGAGATGCCGCGCTGAATCCGGGCATGCAGCGCCTCCGCAAGGTACGTGCGTTCGTCACCATCTTGCAAGTAGTCCGTCCTGTTTCCACATGTGACGTAGGCCGTGGCGGCACGACTTGGCGCATATGTGACGAATGTCCAAATCGGCGCGTCGCAGGCCGAGGACACGTCGAACGGATTCTTCATGAACTTGGATAAGCAAGTCGATTACTTTGCACGCGTTGTGGCAGAAGTGCGTTTCCGTCCTCTTCCTGCATGGACTCATCACCAATAGGACCAACACCTTCGGCATGGGTTCAATGCGCTTGGCTTTTCGCAGGGCAACCTCGTTATCCGCGGCTACGTCGAGCGCTACAACAACCCTCCCGTCCAGAGCTTCATATCTATCCATGGTCCACTGGCGGGGGTCGCCGGCCTGCCGCATTGCCGTCCGATCAATTTCATCTGCAAGAAAATCAGCGAGGTAGGTTCACATCCCAGTGTCCACCATCATATACCTACCTACCTCCCTACCCCCATCCTCATCCTACGTTAGATGATTTCCACGGCTGCATATGCCGATTCCATTCAAGGTAGTCATTTGAGTTCGCTCTTCCTGATGACACTCATACTCATCCTTGCAGAAAAGATCGCCCAAGCCAATTACTTTCGGGACCCCACTCGCATCCCCGAGTACCAAGCACACGGTATATACCGCGAATGCTGTGATCCAGGGATCTCCTGTGAAAATCTATATGGAACACTTGTAGCACTGTTCCTCCCCGACCTCAACAACGAAAAGCCCTCAACGAATGCCACGTACAAGGCCAACTTTGCGACGCTCCAGCGCTTGTTGCTTGTTCGAGCGGCCCAAGACTCGATGGTGTACCCCAGTGTAGGCAGGCATACCTTTGAAACATTCGCGATATGGTCATGTGTTGTAGGAATCCGAATGGTTTGGGGCGTACGAAGATGGCGCGTTCGGCCGAATCTTGGCCATGAACGAGACGACATGGTACAAGGCGGACGCGTTCGGGTTGCAAACGCTCGACAAGGCGGGCAAAATCACGTTCAAGGAAACGACGGGGGACCACTTGCGCATTCCCACAGAGACCTTGCTGGCGTGGGCCGACCAGTACTTTGTGTAGAAAAAGCAACACGGTTAATGCGCAATGACACGGCGGCAGTTGTCGCATGTCTTTTTGCAATCCTTGCGGTTGAATGTTTGCCCAAAGTACGAGACCAAGAACTGCCGACGGCAACTCGCCCGCTCTTCGCAGTACTCCATCATGCGCTCTAGCTTTTCCATGTGCACGCCACGGGTCTTCATCGTGTTGCCCTTCTTTGGCATGTTGATGATCCCTCGAATCTTGGATACGTCGCGCCTACGCAAAGCAATAGGGTTGTCCTAAACGTAGGATGACGATGAGATAGATGTATATGGTGTCGTACCGATTGTAAAAGATCGTGCACTGCGAAGGCTGGCCGTCGCGTCCAGCTCGGCCAGCTTCTTGGTAGTACCCTTCGATGGACTTGGCCACAGAATAATGAAGGACGTAGCGCACATCGGCCTTGTCGATGCCCATGCCATACCTTTGCATATCAAGTTTAATACGAGTCGCGACGACTCGTGAGCTTACGCAATGGTGGCACACACAACTTTGATTTGTCCATCTTGCCACGCTTCTTGCACCATTTCTCGATCCGTGGAGGATTGTCCGGCGTGGTAAAAGTCGGCTTGAATGCCGCGGTCAAAGAGGTAGTTGGCCACATCTTCGGATTGCTGCTTTGTCATGCAATAGACAATGCCCACGACGTTGTTGGCATATTTCGACGATATGTACGCGTGCAATTGCGCCAACGCTTTGGATTCTAACGAGGAACACATGGTCACATTATGCAACTGGTTTTGCACTGTCGTAATACGTACCTTCGTTTTCTTTCTCCAGAACGTCAAAGCTAAGTAAAACATGAGCGAGATGGCCAGTTCGATGATGTTGGTCTCGTTGGTACTCGTACCTCAGGTTCGTTCGATTGAAGCTCATCGTGAACACTGTAGCACGGGGGATTTTGAGCACTTTCTTGACGCTGTCAATCACCTTTTGTGGCGCGGTAGCGGTCAATGCCATCACGGGGACGTCTGGAAACAACTCCTTCAACCTGCCGAGCTTGTTGTAGTCCGGCCGAAAGTCATGCCCCCACTGCGTCACGCAATGCGCTTCGTCCACTACAAATCGAGCTAGCATTTCCTGCGCATATACAGCAAGTGTATTGGTTTCTAGATCTTTTCGATATGACCTTACCCGGCGGTTCAAGTCTTCCAGGAGTGAAATGAGGCTGCTCGAAGACGCTAGTTTCTCGGGCGTGACATACAGCAACTTAATCGTCGGTACTGGACGATGCAAATCTCTGAGCACGGCTTTGAGTAGTTTAACTGCAGTTTGACTTGACAAATATGCGGCTGGGATTCCTGCTGGTTTGTTGCGAACCAACGACGTCACTTGATCTTGGATGAGCGACAGAAGTGGCGACACGACAATTGTCACACCTTTGGACAATACCGCTGGCAACTAGGCACACGTAAGATGACGAAGAAAAGCAAGGCAGAAGGACGCACCTGATAACACAGACTCTTGCCTCCGCCTGTCGGCATCAAGACAAACACGTCTTGGCGATTTAACGTGGTCTGGATGGCATCACGTTGGTTCGTGCGAAAGGTGGTGTTACCGAATATGTGCCGGTTTGCTCGGGAGATCTGATCGTCGGGCTCAGGTCTTCCATGCGGCAACAGGAAGTGTTCCATGGCGCGATCGGCGGCGGCGGCGCTTTTTCTCCCGCGCGCAAATTCGATTTGTCAAATTGTGTTCCGGTTTACTGTTAATTGGGTATCCGGATGTCGTGAAATTCTGGCAAATCCTTTGCAATTTGATATTTCGAAATACCGTCACGAGCCTCTATAAATGCATATAACTCGATGACATGCGACGGTTACGGCCAAAAATAAAAGCTGGCGCTGGCGATCGGATAGGCGTATCCTTGCCGCTGCTGACCATTCTCCGTGCACCGCCGTCGACAGAACAAGTCCTATGGAGATGAAGAGGAAGCACGAGTCTCCTTCTCCAGCCTTGTCCGTGATGGCGACGACGGCGACTTCGCCTTCGCAGCAGAAGATCCAACTGGCAGCACATCATCTTGCGTCCAGCAATACCAAGACACGCAAACGAACGCCATCTCTGAACTCTGAACAATTTTCCCACGATATCCCTGAGCGGGAGTTGATCACTTCGACACGTGATTCATCGCCGGTTGACCCTGTGACGATGGTGCAACCCGCGATGACCACCCGAACCCCGTCCCTGCTGCTGCTGGAAGTTCCAACGAAGCATCCACAGAGCCCCAACTCGATCGAACCTTCGCCCAAGGTGATCCTGTCCTCCCGCGAGGCGCTGCCATCGCCTCGTTTAACGCTCCCACCCAAGGACCAGGAGCATCCCCCACCAACCACCACCACGACCGCATTTCCACCAAAACGAGCGCGGAACCGCAATCCAGGCAACTTGATCCTCGACTTGTCCCAGATGACCCCCATGCAATCGCCGACCAAAGCTGCCGACTGCACGAACGTGTGCTCGCAGGTTACCGACTTCCTCTTCGTCGGGGGCGCCGTCGTCGCCTCCCAGCGCGACGTCCTCGAGCGGCATGGCATCACGCACGTGATCAACTGCGCCGCGACCATCACTCCCAACTACTTTCCCCACGTGTTTGACTATTATCGGCTGCGACTGCGAGACCACGCGACCCAAGACATCCACCAGCATTTCTACAACATTTTCCAGTTTATCGACACGGCCCGGGCTCGTCACGGCAAGGTACGATCGATCGATCGATCGATCCCCACCATCATGGGCTCCTTCCTTCCCTGCCGTCGCTTGGGATATTTCCCTTTGAACAACTTTCTCTATCCACAGGTGTTTATCCATTGCGTCAAAGGCATTTCGCGGTCCCCGGCGATGGCCATTGCGTACCTCATGGCGAGGGAACAATTGGGATTATACCCAGCGCTGGAACTCGTGCGGTCGTCGCGCCCAGTCATCGATCCCAACGCAGGCTTCATTTTTCAACTCAACGAATGGGATTCGTTGCGCCAACTGCACTGCAACCAGCCCAGCACAGTCTTCCGTGTGGAAATGTCCCAAGACGACGACGTCGACGGGGAAACTTCCTCAGGACGGTACTACCCGTTGATCATTGGACCCGTGCCGTCGGACCACTTGATGGCATCGTCCTCGTCGCGGGATCCGTCGCAAGAGTCGCCGCAGATACATGTACAACTTGGAGTGATATTCGTTGAGGGGTCACATATGTCGTCGACGGGTAGGACGAGCATGCCGCGGCGTGTTTTGTCGTGTGCTCGATGGAAGCCAAGTACTGTTCGCTGTGGTGCGGCCGAGACGCTAGCGACGAGATGGTCGAGACGGGCAAGGTGGCCATGGTAAGTCTTGCGAGTCCATGTATTATGTACGATACAAGTCGCTTGTCAGTATATTTGTATGTGTGTGTACTACTGCTACACCATTTGTTCTTCTTACAAGGGGTGGTATAGCGCTTGCTGCAAACATACGAAGACTTTCCGGATACATTTGACGTGGTAAAGAGTGGACAAGAACCGAGCGCGTTCTGGAACGTGGTCGCCCCCGATCAAGAAGACCCCCACGCGATGTAAAGATATGATCTTATCGCTAGTAGGACGTGATTGGTACCCGTCGTCGATGGCTTGTGAAAGTATCGCACACCGCGTGACTATCTATGTATGCTGGACACAAACGTCCTTGATGAGTGCGCGCAAGTCGGCCATATCGCGGCGTAACGCTGCCACTTGTGACACTAGAACTTCCAAGGGCGAGTTGGTAGATGATGATGATGATGGGGAGGATGGTGCGGTGGGCAGGGGGGGGGGATGGGGAGGGTGAAGCACGTGGAGAGACGTCGAAGGAGGTGCAACTGTAGACGAGGCGGAACTGGTCACCACAAAGCCCCACGCGCACGCCAGTAGAATTACTAGAACCCCGAGGTTCTCCAGTGGGTGACGCCAGCAAGACATGACGAGATCAGTGATGGAGGAAGGCAGTGCGGATGATTCATCCGTTCGTTCCGATATTTGGGGATGCGGAAATTGGAATGATGGAGAGGCAGGAAACTCATCGCCGGTCGATTCTGAACGGGCTGCTGCTTGCTGTAACTTTCGGCGAACGAGAACTTCTTGTCCTGAATGACCAACCTTTGGACGTGGCGTGGATTGATTAAGCATGGCACTGGCATTCAAAAAGATATCAGGTGACCCTTTAAGATCTCGTTTTGTCAAATCCCATTGGCTATTGAATTCAACCAATCAGAGCATCGATTCGAATGTATGTTGAAGTTGCGCCTGGCATAAAATATGGTTCAAGGTAGATTGGATGTCAAGGCCTCAAACTGCATCGCTACGACTCCAGAGTACTCCGGAGTATTTGGTAACTAACTACAAGGTGAGCATCGATCGTCCCAAGTAAAGTTTCTTGAACGGACTTTTCGTCCTCACGTTATTGCATCATATTCGACTCGCATACTATTGGTAGAATTGTCTCTGACATTATACGGAGATTTCGGAGACTAGGATTTACCATTACTGAGCACCTTACGAATGAAATGCAAACCCCCTTATGAACTACTACGTAGTATTTCGAGTACTACGTACAGCTTTGGAACAGAATCCCTTAACTGTAAATGGGTGCATTTTGGGGATTCCAATGTAGTAACAGACTCCCTCAAATGGGTGCATTTTGGGGATTCGAATCCTCGACCGTGATTGGCCAGATCAGTTGGCACTTTGAACCGATAGACTCGTAGAGAATGGACGAATATGGTCCACATGAAGTGGAGGTCTATCAGAGGTGCGGTGGGAGCGAACGAATTAACGACACCCTCCAACCTTATGCATCGTAGAATCCCGTACACCGTCACATGTAGATTGCCGTATGGTTTCATATGCTCTTTTATCATGGTTTTCGACTAATACTGTAGCCCCTCCTCTGCCCAAAAAGCGCGCTAATTTTGGGGTCGCGATTGACTTGGCATTTCATTACGCTTCTTTCATCGCCGTTGATCATGCTTGGGCGTTCTTGGGTAGATCGCGCCTTATTGCTCCTTCTAGGCTTTTTCCATCAAACCACCGATGCGCATGGAACGCACATCACATCGTTCGAAGACGGTAAGGCTTGTACTATATCTGACAAGCACGGTGTTTCGAGCATTGTGTGTGTCGTAGTGCTATCGTCGCAACCACATGCCCACGACTTTGCCGTGGTGAGCTACGTGTCAATTACAAGTGCCGATGAGTCCCTCGCGCCCGACGCTCCGTACCCGTCGTCGATGCACGTTCATTTTCGCACGAGCCACGGCACAGACTTGGAGTTTGACGTTCGACTCAAGCGCGACTTGTTCGCCGCTGACTCATTTGTGTGGGCGCACGACGGTCCAGAGCTCGCGCTCCTAAAGTCACACAAGCCGCATCACATTGCCTACGAGGGGAAAGTGCCCCATGGGTACATCCGCCTCACAATGTTTGACCGCCATATGTTCCATGCAACGATCAAGTTGCACGACAAGATTGTGGTCGTGGACCCCGTTGGACACCACAAGAATGCCCACCATTTGTCGTCGCCCGTGACTGGCATGGTGGCGTACACGATACCACTAGCATCTGCGACGCTGTCAAACCAGCACCATCGCCAGTTGACGTCGTTTGGTCGAATGGCAGGGTGCACGTGGAGCTCGAGGCAAATCACGGTCGGGGTTGCTTCCGACGCCGGGTTTACGTCTGAACATGGTAACACTCCACCACCACTATCATCCTCGTTGAAAGGTAGTTTAAAACGGATGGCTGGTAGGAGGGGCTGCACAGACTCAAAGCTACCTCATTGCAGTGTACAACTCGGTCAACGGACTCTTCGACGACCAAATCGGCGTGCACTTGACCATCGGGGCGTTCCTGATTGAAACGGGGGTGGGGGGTCCGGCGTGGAATGTGGAGCCGGGATCGTGTGGCGCCATGGCCGACATGGATGTCCACCTCGACGTTATTAAAGCGTACGTCAAATTGCACCATGAATGGAAAAGCTAACAACTTGGCCCGTCATTTAGGTGGGTTGCCGCAGGAGACAACGTGCCCATGTGCAATCAAGAAAACTGTGGGCTGTGGCACGTGCACACTAATTGCGACGCGGACGGTGCTCGAACAGGGAGTACAGCGGGGGTGGCGTGGATGGGCTCTCTGTGCAGTAGCAGCATGGGCCTCAACACGGGCGTGTCCATCGATGCCGGCGTCAATACGTGGATGGTTGTGGGCCACGAAATCGGCCACAACTTTGGTGCAAGCCACACGTTTGCAGAAGGTGGGATCATGTCATACGACTGGGGAAGCCCTACCAAGTTTTACGACAACGGCGAAGTGTGCTCGTTTGTGCAAAGTGTATTGGACAAGTGTTTGAAACCCTACAGTCCCGATGGAGCCCCCACCACAGCCAGACCTCCCACTACTACTACTACTACAGCCACACCCACCACCACAGCTCAACCAACGACCACCACAGCAACACCCACCACTACTACCACAGTCACACCCACCACCACCACAGCAATCACTACTGCTCATCCTACGACCACCACAGCTAAACCTACGACTACTACCACAGCCATACCCACCACCACAGCAATCACTACTGCACATCCTACGACCACCACAGCCAGTCCTACCACCACGACAACGCCAAAACCAACTACCACCCCAGTTACTACTATTCTAACCACTTCAACCCTAACTCCCACCACTACAACCCTAACTTCAACAACTGCAACTCCCACCACAACTACTGTTGTCCCAACGGCCACCACTACTTCTGCCCCTACACCCACCAATACAACGTACATTCCCACACCTTCAAACCTAGCGGCTTCAACAACGACAACCAATCCGCCTACCACGACGGTTGATTCTTCCTCCGACCCATGCAGTTGCTCGACAGTCTCCAAGTGCCCAAGTATCACAGGTGGTGGCTGCCAACCTTTCCACGGCAAATCGTGGTGCTACGTCAAAGATCCGACAAAGTAAGTCATCACACATAATGAGTCTTATAGGGATATCGTAGATGTGTGGGGGCAGCGTACCACGATTCTACGGATTGTGCGGGGCAAAAGTACATGCAGTGCAATGAATCTTCGATCTATCTGTCGGTGCCACCGCCCCCGAAAGACCCTTGTGCATGCAGCACGACTACCACATGCCCCAGCGTCAGCACCCAGCCTGGCTGCTTCAAATCTGACTGGACCAGCTATTGCTACGTCGAAGATCCTATCAAGTACCCAACCCCTCTATATTCTGATTCGATGATCTAACGTGGCATGTTCTAAGGTGTTTCGGACCAGCGATTCGATCGTCGTCGGTGTGTGCTCGTGAAAAACTGCGCCGATGTTCACCCCAAGGCAAGTCGTCGACGCATTGGGTTGTGAACGAATGGTCCAAGTGCTCAGCGCAATGCGGCGGCGGAGTCAAAAATCGCACAGTAACCTGCATGGACCAAAAGAACGTCATTTCGTTCACAGACTCGTCGTGCTCGGCGCCCAAGCCTATCGACACGCTCAAGTGCAACGTCCTGCCGTGTCCTAATACAGCGCTCAACTACACCACGCCGTGTGCTGGCCCGCCTCACTCCACGTGCAAACCTCGATCTCACATGCGACTTTGCGACTGTGCGTGCAATTTGGGCTACATTTACCACTCCCGTCGTCGCGAGTGTGTGCCACTTCCAGCGATAGAGTGGCGGTCGGTGAAATGCCCCGAATGCGCAGATAATGTTCTCGGTCCACTGAGCTTTGAGGTTCGGTCTCATGACATCGATCCATTGAATGCCCCTGGTTGCGACGGTCAAGACGACGATGGCACGGTCACTGCGTCGTGGCTGGCTGTGTTTGATCCAGACTCTTCGACAACCTCGGGTGGTAGCGCCAGCACCAGTGACGGTATAACCAATGTAGCGATCATTGCAATCGCCACATGTATTGGTGCGATCGCACTGATCCTTGCGGTGCTGGTGTATCGCCGCCGCGCCGTCCAGCAGCCCGCCACGCAGAAGCAACCCCCCGCCTGCATTGTACGATCCACCCTCGGATCCATGCTTTAACTTTGTATCTCAATAAATTTGTTTATGCCATCTCGTTTCGTGTTGTTGTACGTGTACAATCATCGTACTTCATGGGGTGATGGTTCCTTGCTTGACGACATTCTAGCGGCATGTTAACATTGCTCGGCTACGATCTTTTACTACCAAACGATGTGCGAAGCACGCAAAATAGATCATATCAATACACTGACAGTAAGTGGAAGCTGATTTGATTGACGCTTTGCTGCAGAACCTTTATCATATAATACAAACGCACCTCCACGCTCCACGTCATATGGGGATTGTATTCATTGTCACGGGTTTGCCATGGTATCTTGAAGGAGGGGTCGTACTGTAAAATCGTGTTCTGCGCGCAGTTTCCATTATCACACGATGAAAAAGGTTGTGGCGGCGCTGCTGGCTCCGCTGGCACTTGCGTCTACCTACGACGAATGGGACCTTCCAAACTACTGCATGGCGACGGACACGATGGACAAGGTCGCAATCCCGCCACTGACCAGTAATCGACCCATGGAGCTCGTCCAAGCCCAAGTCATTGCGCGGCATGGTGCCCGCGCGCCGTACTCCCGCGTGTTTTGCTGGGAAACGGCCCCAAGTCCAGTGAATGCCGTGTGGAACTGCTCGACGAGCTCCGTTTGGGTAGGTCGTACAGTATGCTCATCTTTTGTTGTCTCACCTCATACCTGACTGTATCTAGTCTGGAGACATTATGGCCAATGATGCCAACAATCGAGGGTTTGGGCGACTGTACAAGAAGCAGTACATGGACGGTGGAAACGTCTTGTCCGGCACGTGCGCCGTTGGCGGCTTGCTCCCGTTGGGTCGCGAACAGCACCGCCGCGTTGGCGAGTACAGTCTTGATACGATCTGGTTCCACATTCCAATGCCGATTGTGTATCTTGTAGATTGCTACGCAAAGCGTACATTGGAGAGGGTCCGCTGAAGCTTTTCAACTCGAGCAACTTGAACGTACGTACTAGTAGCCCCATGCTCTATGGCCTCGGTTCATTTTGTCTCCGACGTTTGTAGACTCTTCACAAGCACGAGATCTACCTCCGCAGGTTGGTTTAAAACATATATAGAATCCCAGCAAGCTCACGGTGGTGCATCATTGCTGGCGTAGTGACGACCAAGAGCGCACGTTGGGCTCTGGCCAAGTACACAGCGTTAACACCAACTAACGATACTGAATTCATCATATAACAAGTCATGGCTATAGGCGCTGGTGGACGGGCTCTTCCCGTACGATGTCACAGACGATTCAGATACGGAGCACATGCTCACGTGGATGACGGCGGACGGCGCGACCGATTACATTGACCACAAAAGCGACAACTCGTGCCCCGCCTTGCCGTTTGTCCGTGCCAACTCCCCATGTGGTTCGAGATTGACATGGCCAAATGTGATTGGTAGATCTTGGGCCAAGTACAGGCAACCCCCGAGTGGGCCGCCCTTAGCCGTGACGTGGCGCCGCTCCAGGCCGAGTTTGAGCGCGTGGTTAACGGCACGTTTTCGTGGGACACGTGCTTGGAATGCCTCATGATTGCCAGGTTGGGCTGTGTACCATATATATATATATCATATCAACAATATATATATATATATATATTCCAGATGCAACGACTTGGCGCTACCTCCTGGCATGACCCAAGAGTTGTTTGACGGACTCATCCAACATGTGCAAGCGCGGAAGAAGCTCGTGCTGACATTTCAAGGCGGACGGTACGCCAAGGTGGACATGCACCACATGTGGGCAGACGTCCTCCAGCGCATCGACAAGATCATCGCCGACCCCGAGCACGCCCCCAAACTGTCGATTACGATCGGTAACAAACACAGTCTCAAACAACTCGCTTTATGTTACCTACATTCTGGATCTGTGACGTGGTAATATTAGGTCACGACTCGACCATCATGCCAATGATGGCATTGCTTCTGGGCGATCGATGGGATGGCGCGTGGACGACGTACGCCGGAACTCTTGTGCTGGAGCTGTACAAGGTCGTCCCAACTGTCACCCTTCGAAACGATGTATATATATATATATATATTGGCGGACGACGTTGTTTTTATATTTATTATATATATATATTAACAGGAGCACTACCTCCACCTAACCTTCATGGAATACAGTACTATCTATATACACCAACTACCATTGCTTAGGAAAGCAAACATCCGACCAACGACGCATCGGCGGCATATGCGGTGCGCGCAGTCTACAACGGCCAGCCGCTCTTGCTTCCGTTCTGCTCGGATTGTACGTGTCGTACTTTGTCGCAGATGACGTTGAAAACGGCCAAGTAGACTTGTGTGAGTGGACGGTCTTCAACGACACGTTTGCGTTCGCCCGCGAGTGGCGGCCGTGTGCCGTGCCGACGACTTCCATGTCGGCGGTGCCCACGGACCGGCGGTGGAAGCCGCACGGACTGCATTGGGTGGCGTCGGCCGTCATGTTTAGTGGGTGTGTATCCATGACCGTGGTCATGATGCGGGAGCTTCGACATCGCCAAGAAGACCCGACTACTCGCTACTTGCTTGCTTAATCTAGCGTTTCGAGCCAAAACAACGAAGATCTCTGCGAGCCACGCGTCGTCGATGGGATTACCAGTTTGGTGGTTTAATCTAGTATTACTAGTACTACTTACTACGAAACTGTGGTCACCACACTTCGGCCACATACCGCCCGTTGAGTTGAAGCGATGTCACATATGCCTTGGCTTGGTCGACTGACCATCCGCGATGGCTCTCCAAGCAATTCACCAGCGCCAGTTTGACATCTCGACCCATAGCCAGCGACCCACATACATACACTGTCCCATGCTCGAGGTACTGGCACACTGTCGCAGCGTCTTGTTTGAGTTTGGCCCCGACATGCCAAGGGCCATCTTGAGTCTATGGTTGAGTACATGAATATACAGCGTCGGGATGAGATTACACTGAGATGACGTACGTGGGAGGTCGGAGGGTGGTTGGAGTACACGGGAACGTAAGCCGACAGGACTTGTGTTGCAAGTGCAGTTTGCATTTCACACTGGTACAACTCGTCCGAACTTGGTTCCCGGCAGCCCACGTACAGCGCCACTTTCGGTCGGTTCTTTACGAGGGCCAGCTCTTGGATGAGGCCGCGAAAGGGCGCGACGCCCGTGCCCGCGCCTATCCACAGCAGTGACACTGTCGGTGGATAATGCGCGCCCCAGTGCTGGCTAAAGGCTGAAGGGGCCAGCGACGCAAAGACGGTGCTACTAAACGGCGTCGTGGACGCCAAGTGGGTCGAGCAGCGTCCGTCCAGAGGAGGCGGCTTGGCCGCGACGGTCAGCGCGACGGACGTGTGGTTGGTCTTGGGCGACGATGCAATCGTGTAGCTGCGGACGACGAGTGGCGGCGCGAGACTGAGTAAGGCTTCCACAGAGAGCGCGACAGACGGACACGCTTCGAGCACATCGACCAAGGACAAAGTTCGAGGTATGTCTGTGGCCCATTGCGCCAACTTTGTCTGGTCGGGCGCGGCGGTGGCGTACCCACTCAAGTGTCGAAGGAGGCGGGGGGTTGGCGTGGATGATAAGTCAACGTACCACGTGAAAAGCGACGTCAGCGACAGCCATTCGTTCGAGGGTAAGTATGTTTTGGAGTGGCCAGGAAGGACTTGGACCAAACTGGTGGTCGTGGGGCGATTCGACAGCCTTTTCAAACACCGGGTGACGACCGAGTTTGCATTTGGCAAGTGCACATTGCAGTTGCCAGCCGTGTCGTACGTAGTTTGAGGTGCAATGTCGAGCTCAATGTGATGCACGGATCGAGATGACGTTTCGCTTAGCACTTGGTGCACAATCACGGGATGGGGATGCACTCCACGTGGCGGCACGGGCGTCGACGACGAGATGCCACTCTGCTCGTGTAGGTGCAACGCTTGAGCCGGGGACGCCCACGTAAGCGTCACATCGGGTGGTGGGGGTGGTGTCGTGGCTTGGAATTGCTTGATAAAGGCATCTGTCGATGACGTGGCCAGAGCTTCCCATCGAACGCTGTCTTCGTACTCGAGCAATTGTTCCTGTCGCTCCAAGACATGTCGTGATGATCAGACATGGTGCATGCATGTCGTACATTGTACACGAGCAGCACGCAATTGGGGCAGTTCAGATTGCAGCATTCGCTGTCCAGAGGCTTTGTTGGAGGCACCAGACGTCGAGCGGCCGGCGGCTACACCAACAGTCTTGTCAATCAAATTGGGACATACTCGACGACGACGACGTACTTGCGGTGGACTTGCCGCGCGCTTCTTTTTAGCCATTTCACGCTCAAATTCAAGGAACGCATCGATGCTATACCTTCGAGGAATCCGCCATCGCCCACTACCACTGAAGACGGATCGCCGCAGCATGAAGTGAATCTGACAACGATGATGCGACTGAATGGACCAATGGCATCGCACCGTCAGCGAGTAACCAGATGGCCCATTGCGACATCCGAGTTGGGGTTAACAGTAAGTTACTGTAGTTACCGGTAACTTTATTAACTTGGTTACACGAATATGCCAGCGATTAACACAACAAGCCCAGCTCGGCTTGATAGAGACTAACGTTACTAGTAGTGAGAGCGCATTCTGAAAATGCGAGCTGTCGGCTGCACCGAAAAATGAAGTGTCCGTGGTTTCTTTGAATGTGCCAAAAATTTATCCGGTTAAACCCTTTGAGACACAATAATTCAAAACATTTGATCAAAGAGGTTTGCCCAACCAACCAAATGCAGTGGTGGAGGCGAAGGAGTCAATCTTCCATTTGACAAGGATGTTCCGTGTAGCAACTCTCCGCTTGACGCGTCAAGCGTTCCCCAAGGCCACCGTCGCCGCCGCGACCTCGGCCCTCTCAGCAAATGCGATTGTCAAGTCCGTGGCATCGTTTGCACCTCGCTTCGTCCTTCCCGCCGCCTTCACCATGCCCACGATGTCGATGGCTCGCTTTTTCTCGACCGAGGCGGCCCCTGTGTCGACGGTCTGGATCGGCGGCTTGCCCTTCGAGACCGAAGAATCCGACATTCGCGACTTGTTTGAAAAGTATGGTGAAATCACCCGTATCACCATGACCAAGCGCCGCGACGGCCGCTTCCAAGGCACGGCGTTTGTAGAATACGCCGAACCGGCGGAAGCCAAGGCCGCCCTCGAACTCGACGGCGAATCCTGCGGCTCTCGCTACATTAAGGTGTCGTACGCACTTCCCCGCGTGGTCAAGACCACCGAACGTCCCGTGGACTGCTCGGCCGTGCGATTCTCCAACATCCCTTACGACCTGAACGAAGAAAGCATCCGCTCCATGTTTGAACATTGCGGTGAAATTTCCAGCGTGCACTTCCCCAAGGACCGCGAAACCGGCCGCCCGTTGGGCTACGGGTTCGTTGAGTTCGTGGACCCCACCAGCTGCGACAAGGCGTTGGACGTGTCCGGCGCCGAAGCGTTCGGTCGCCGCATCAACGTCGAGTACTCCCTGCGCGCCAAGCGCACCCCTCATGCGACTCACAAGCCCGAAGGCTGCAAGGCCGTGTTCGTGGCCAACTTGTCCGAAGAAGTGAACAGCGGCATGTTGCAAGACCTGTTCGAAGACTGTGGCGAAATCGAACGCATCCACATCGCTGTGGACCGTGAAACTGGTGAGCCCCGAGGATTTGGTTACGTGAACTTTGCGCACACCGACTCGGTGGACAACGCGATCAAGCTGTCCGGCGCCGACGTCGAAGGCCAAAACATCCGCGTCACGTTTGTCCGTGAACGCGAAGAGCGCCGCCCCTCGTACAACAACGACGGCAACGACCGCCGTGAACGCCACCACAACCGCTCCAGCGGCGAACGCGGGTATGGCGGCCGCGCCAAGCGAGGTGGTCGTGACGAAGGCCGCAACGACCGTCGTCGCAACTACGACAACAGTGATTACTAGGTTATAGGTGAATAGAGACATCATAGTCTTATATACGTTACGACAGCTTTGGCTTGTGCACACATCGCATCCGCCATCCTCGCGTCTTCCTTCTCTTCACAATGATCATTTTGACCGCAGGATAATGTAGAGATTGAAGGGAAAATTGATCTGTGATTGGGTCAAATTCAACCAATGAAAGGCAGCCTTGAATTGACAACCACTCAATTGGACAAAGCGAGAGGATGCATCGCCTTGCCGCCATCCGAGCGTCACAAGCAGTGCTTCGGCGGCCGACCGCGCTGTCCGCGGCTTCGTCCAGGCATGTCGTCACCTTGAGAGGCATTGCTGCCTTGGTGCACCGTCCTGTGGGTCCTCCACAGCAACACGTGTTGTCGTCGTGGCTCGGCAAAACAACCCATGGCGTCCGTGCATTTGCGTCGCATCATACCAACGACGATCACGTCGAGCTGTTGTCGTTCTCGGAGGTGAAGAAACTCGGTTTAACGACCATGGACGAACTCATTCACAGTCGAGGGAAACCAGCGTTCTTCGCCGCGGCCAAGCGCTTGAAGTTCACGTGGAAGGACTTTTGCGCGCACAATCCGTACCCGAGCGCGACGGAGCTCAAGACGTTCTTCAACGCTGGACGCGCTCTGGATGCGGACTCGGTTCTCGTCGAGACCGTCATGGCCATGCACAAGGTCTTCCCCAAGGAGCTCAAGGCGCGGCACTTCATGGAGTCGCGCGTGTCGTTTCTCCGCCTCCGCAAGTTTGACGAGATGCAGGCCATCTTTGACGCCGAGAAGATCGCCCATCCCCATCCGCAGCCCATCTTTTACATTTGGGTGCTCACGGCGTCCATTGAGCAGAACAACCTGGACAAGATCAAGGCGCTGCTCGCGGAAATGAAGCACGAAGGGTACATGATCCCCAATGAAACTGTGTCGAGGCTGCTGTTCAACTTGGCCAAAAAGGGCGACAAGGACGGCATCTTGGGTTCGTATATCTATCTATATATATATATAGTCCTTTGACCTAATATTTGGACTTTTGTCCTGATTCTTTGCCAAATCAATTGATCGATTCTTTGCCTTTTGTATGTAAAATTCATCCAGTGCCGCACTAATTCGATGTTGTATTGGTCGAAGAGTGGATTTGATTGGCTACTTGATTAGTGATCTGGATTTTGATTGGTTGATCGATTTCTGCCGATTTGGTGCTGCTCATTCGATTTGAGCACTCCAAACTCCAATGTCGAATCGACTTGACAATATATATATATATATATATATGCAAGCCACGGTCATCCTGTGGATGGCGTGCGATGCCGTCGTTCGTCGGCTATGGATGTGAACTTTCTTTTGTCCATGTCCATATTTTTCCATTGTGTTCCCACACTCGTTCGTCGTCGTCGTTACTCGTTTACAGACACTAACTAACGTTAACTAACATAGATATCTTTGCTGATTTGGACCCGAACGTGGGCATCTGGACGGTGCCGGCACTCAACCGCACGCTCGTGTCCCTTGGTATGGCTGGCCTGCCGCAGCTAGCGTTCAAGTTCTACGGCGAGTCCACGATGGACCTGGTGGCCGCGACGTTCAAGACCGTCCTCGAGATTGCCGTGCGCAATGAGTGTGTGACATGTTGCATTCGCTCCTAATTGATCAAAGAGCTGATCGACGAGATGGACGGTAGATGCAAGAAGGAAGCGGCCGACATTTTGCACAACCGCAAGCTGTTCGACCTGACGCTGGACACGCCCGAGTACAACATCATCCTCGAAGCACTCATCCTCTTGGATCGATGCGATGAAATGCAAGGCATCTTGGATGAAATGGCTGCCGCGGGGGTCCCTGCCAATGCCAAGTCCAACTACCTTGTGAAGACCAAAACCCTAGATCGCATCTACTTGCACAGCAAGCACCTGTACGTACAGTTGGTTCACTTTGCCTCTACTCTAGTGTATTGATACTTACTGCTTTGAGGTTATATTGTCCTTTTACCCAAAATTTGGACTTTTGTGCTATCTATCGATCGATTTTTGTACGTAAAACGCATCTTGTGTCACACTAATTTCATTTAACACTATTTCGATGTTGAATTCGTCGAAGCGTGAATTTAATTGGCCACTTGAATAGTGTTGTGGGTTTGGATTGGATGTATATCGACTATTCAGTCCAAAAGTGAAAGGTTTTTGAATAAACGTGGCAATATATCTTGTATTCACTATAGTACAGTGAGTTCAATCTGCAACGGATATTTTTTAGAAATCGTATTGATTGGCTGAACTATGTAAGGGGGGGGTAGAATGGATTTTGATTGGCTAGTTCATTCTCAAATCGATTTGCCAAGTCTATTCGATTCTACTGGCGACTCCAATTACGAACCGACTTGACAATATATATATAAATATATATATATATATATATATATATCGTCAAACGTTGGATCGAGTGTTCGTACTGAAACCTGTCGATGGAGAAGGTCACTCCATCGACAGGTTTTAATAGAGGTGTAGGGTAATCAACTATATGATTATTTACCACAGAGAAGAATGAATTATTAATTGATCCCCATTGTGTGTATATATTATATATATATAAAAACATGTGTAGCCCCAAGTCCAAATTGAACAGCGATATCCGTCGCAACCTGGACAAGAAGCTATGGGTCAAAGCTGCGCGTGTCGGTGATGCCATCCTAGCCGAGAACCCGACGCCGCAGAACATCGCGCACGTGCTCGAAGCGTATGTGGCCGCCAACCAGCTGGACAAGGTAGACGCGATCGTCAAGTCCATGCAGACGGCGCAGTGGCCCGTACCTACGCTGGGCGGCATCATGTTTTTGCTCAAACACTTTTGCCGCCGCGAAGTCCGCGCCGATGACGGCAAGCAGGTCATCGTAGACGTCGACCGCGCGTTTGCCGTGTACAAAGCGTCCAAGGTCCAGGGCCTGACCATCTTTCACCCCAAGATGCTGTACCCCGTGGTCATGCAGCTGGGCGAGTGGGAGGCCGCGGTTGATCTCTTCCTTGGCAGCCTCCGCGCCGACGCCACCAACCCGCCGCAGCTCGCCATGCGTACCACCAAGGTCGTGCGCACCGAGGCCTTCCATGACGTCGTCCGCGTCTGCGCCAAGATGCGCCAGTACGACGCCATGTTGCAGGTCGTGCACGCCATGGTCGTGGCATACGGACACGAAGTGTACCCGACCGTGTTCAAGTCCATGTGGTTCGACCCAGTGCGGTACTCGTTCCATGGACTGAACGGTGTCACAGACAAGAACCGGAGCGACCTCCTCGACTCGTTTGCCGCCGCCATCGTCTCGTGTTTGCAGTACGTCGAGTACTTTGATCCCCTCTCTTGATTGATGATGAAGCGAATATATATATGTGTATGTGTACTGGTGGTGATGTACATGGATGGGGGTTACTGTAGTGTGAGCATAAATATGAAATGGAGAGTATGTTGCTGGAATTTGGCTGACTATTGTGCTGATTCGCAGCCAAACTATCCTATCGATCGATTCTTTGCACTGACTTTTGTATGTAAAATCGTCCGATCGTCACACTAATTTCAGTCACACACTAATTCGCTGTTGACGTGGTCGAGAAGTGGATTTGATTGGCCACTTGATTCGTGTGTTGGGTTTTGATTGGTCGATCTTTGATCGTCTGCCGATTTGGTGATTCCACTCCAATTTCGAATAATCGATTCGACAATATGTAGTATATATATATTGTGGTTTAGTTGGTCTCGACGGTGTGTACTAGATATGCGATGATGTACTAGATATGCGATGATGTTGCTTGTATAATAACGTTACTACCATCAATATATGATTGACTACATACATGTACGTACGTACTACTATCCATAGGACGATTCAAACCCACCAGCCGACGTTCCAGCCTGATCGGGGCATGGTGGATGCGTTGGCAAACGTGCTGTTTTACGGCAAGCAGCGAGGGCCCTTGATCGAGTTGTACCGCCAGGCGAAGGCCGACCCAAAGAAGTACACGTTCCCCGAGCTCACGTACCAGAAACTGCTGCAGGTATTGGCGGTGCAGGGCCACAACTTGGCCGAAACGCGCGAGTTGTTTGACGAGGCGGCGGCGCGGTATCCCCAGGGCAAGATGCTCAGCCTCATGGAGGCGTCCGTGGTGCGCGCCACGGCTCAAGCTGGCCACATCGACGACATGCTGGCGCTGCTGCGGGGCCCGCGGGCGTGCGGCGCGTCGTACCGCCATGCGCTCGAAGTGCTGGTCGGCCATCGCCGCTTTGATATCGCGTCGGAAGTGCTGGTCATGATGGTCGATGCCGGGTATGTCCCCAACTCGCAGCTCGTGGTCAAAGCCATGCTCGTGGTGGCGAGGCACGGGCATGAGCCGGGCGTGGCGGCGTTTGCGTCCGACCTCCTCGCCGCCTTTGAGCGGAGTGTGGTCGTCAACGGCAAAGTGCAGACCAAGGCCGCGACGGACGACAAGCACCGCGCGGTGACCGTCAACATGCGCGACATCCGACGGATCTACTCGCTCGTGCTGCATACGCTGTCGGCGGCCGGGCTCGTAGAAGACAAACACGCGCTCGTGGCTCGCATGCATGCCCTAGCCATTCAACGGGTGGACGTCGACACGGACTTGCGACGGGACCACACCCGAGGAGTACAATAACCAACGATAATACACTACTACAACACTAGACATAGTTACGTCCGCTAGACGAAAACCATCAGTAGTACGCGGCCGAGGTCATTAAGTGCCCGCTGAGTTACAGCGTAATATCAATATCAACTACTAGTAGACAGTTACTGGATGACGAGTCGACGGCTCCTATCTTTTACAGGAGTGTAGAGTGCGCGATCAACTAACTACACACACTGTGGTTGAAGACTAACTATACCTGCACCAAGTAGATTGGGAGCGAGTTGCCCAGAGATTAGGAAAAGTGCTTGAGAACGTGAGGGCGACCCTCTTATTCATTCCCGATATGTTGAAAGGCTAATGGTATACACTACTCTTAAGGACCTGGTCGGACATGCTCCTTGCGTTCTAAAACTCGTGTTCATGGCAATGTGGGTAGACTACTTCTATGATAGATATACTGGTATACAGGAGAGAGTGGGGTTTTGGTGTGTTTGCTCTATGGTTGTGTCTCATTACATTATGGCCGCAATGCAGCTAGCACGAGATTGGGAATATAGAGCGCATCAATCAACGGTTCCAAAGCACGAGGCTTTGGATCAACATCGAGACTTTGATATTCAACTGTCCTCGTCGCTTGTCCCTCAAGAAGGTTCCAGATAGAATCGGGGCGAGTACTGAGGTGACATCGAACGCCACCACTGTGCAGATGGCGCTCAGACGTCCAGTTGGGAAATGACCATCGCACACCGACTCCTCGCATTGGCACCAGTCGTTCCACTGGTTGGTTCACAAACGATATCCGGATGATGCGTCAAATAGTATTCGGACACCACCAACCAAAGGGCACGTCATCCGGATATATCCGGATGTTTAAACCAACAGGCAGAAACGTTGAGCAGGACACATCAACACATTGCCTACGATACCGAGGTCGATGCCGAGGTTCTCTCCGGTTGGCTGTAGTTAGTAGGGATAAGTACACTATTATACCAAATGCAGTGTACTAGTACTTCGAAGTACTAGTATTGGGCCACTCTGGCTGCCACAAAAAATGTCATAAAGCACAACTTTTCAGAAATATTATGACAATTTTTCATAATTTCAGCTTTTGTGTGCTTGGCAGGCTAATTTTTGCCAACCTGATATTCCATCAATAGCTTCCAATCCAACTTACTTCCAGTCACTGAAACCGATGACAGCGTTGTAACCGATTAAAGTGTACTGCTGCGTTCTTTTCATGGGGTGCATCGAATCCAAGTTCAAGTACGAAGAGCGTCAGGTGAACGCAGTAGCCGCCTTTGTGCACAATGCCATCGACGGCAAAGTCGCCTTGCTAGCGAAAGCCATCAGAATCGACCGAAAAAAGGTCGTCGCCGTCGACGTACGTAGAAATCAAATGTGTTTTCACCATGGATAGTTCACATATGACGATTTTCCACCGTTGTATGTAGCGGTTTGGCATGACAGCATTGCATTGGGGTACGTAGTTGTCTGTCCATGTACGACGATATGACTGTCGTAGCGTGCTATGTTGGCCAAATCACGTCGGTCATCGCGCTCTGCGACGCAGGGGCCGTGCCAACCCAAGTCGACGTAACTTACGATTCTATCGACCGTGGAGGGATGAAACATGTATTTGATCGTAGAACAACCAGCGGAATGCACTACATCATGCGTGTCGGAAAGGGCGGTTGAACATCGTGGCCCACTTGACTAGCATTTGCGGTATGAATGTCAACTGCCAAAGCGTACGAACACTCGACAACTATATACATCGGACGATAGTGTTTCACATTAGTTAGTAGGGCAACGGGGACACTCCCCTGCACAAAGCAGGTAACTCTGATCTTGTTCTTTTCATGGCCACGTTATCATCTGTATAATTGATTTAACGTTATGTATGGGAAGTCCTCGCTCCGAGTGTGCCTGTCACGTTGCTGCTACTAAAACACGGCGCCAACAAACACTTGCCTAACACGGTATATACGCTGGGCTGCTGCTTTTGACCTCAAGTAGTAGTACTAGTAGAAGTATCATACTCTGCATTGTTGACTAATAGTATGGCCGAACGCCGTCGTCCGAAGTGCAATTTCGACTGGGGAAAGGCGCCCCCACCGCAGCGATCCCGGAAGAGGCCGAGCCGGACCTGGGCCAAGTTTTACAATGGCCAGCGTTGCAATCCGTCGAAGTCATGACCGCCGTGGTGCCGTTCGACGATACCCTGTCAAGGCCGTCCACCACCGACCAGCTGCAGCTCTCCCCCTCCGATCAACTGGCCACATTAAGTGGCTACGCCCTTCTTGGAGCCATCTTCACACTTCACGACCTAGCACTCGCTCGAGATCCAAGCGCCATGGCGCAGTTCGACCAGCTCGTGGCCACTCATTGCGTCGTTGGTTCGTAACGGTCGTTCGTTCGAAAGTTATATATATCTACGTCCTTATGAGTCTGCAAACCGGACGCGGCCGTCAAAGGGCTGCCGTGTGACTTGTCGCAGCGACAAGTGCTTGAGCTGCGCTTCCATGAGCTGCAGATTCGCCTCGTACGCTTCCCCTCGCTCAAAGAACCACTCGATGAAGCGCACGCTCAGCTGCACGTGCGAGTCGCATCGACCGGCCCAGTCGGCCCACTTGTCGACGTCTTTCTTCAACGACGTCACGGCCTGGAGTGGCGCCTAACGTTGCACAATGCACATAGATTGGTGGTTCCAACATGGTAACCCAGCGCGATCATAACAAATGATACAGCCGACTAACTCGACTACCTTGGTTTCAAGCGCAGCCTCCAGTTCGTTGGCACGGGTTTGCCAGTCACAAGAGTTGACCTTGAGCCCTAGCTGCGGTTGCCACAGTCATGTGATTGATATTCTCTTTGGTCGCAAGCAGCGATTGTTATAGAAGTGAGTGTTACCTCGTTTTGAATCCGTTGGGCGTGGGCTTCGAGCGCGTCGGCCAGCTCATGCACCGACGTGCGTGTGGACGCTGCAAACTCCGAGTGGGACCTTTGCGCCACCTGCACTTTCGAGAGGCAGAGATGGATGTTACGTTGGCATTTCTGGATGACGGCGTCCATGGCATCATGTGCCGCCGTCGTGTCCGTCCGCAGCGTCGTCAGGTCGGCGCGGTGGTCGGCCAGGCGGTGGCCAAGCTGCGCGGTCTCGAGCGCTGCAAGCTGCTCATGGTGGCGGCACGTCGCGCTCGACGCCGTCAGTTTCTCGTCCAGTTGCTGCAACGAGCGCTCGATTTCAGAGCAACGCGGGATAAATGCATGCAATTTCGACGCCATGGCTTCCACACGAGTGACTTCCATCTACACCAACCACGCATTACGAGTACAAACAACAGTCGAGCGGCGTTTGAATGCTCTACTTTGTCCATTTTGGAGTCGATTTGCCCTTCGAGGGCCGCCATTTTTGCATGCAATGCATCTTGGTCCATGTGCAAACTGCACTAACGTTAGCCGATCGTCAAAAGGAATGGAATACACACACGTGTACCTTGACAACAGCTCCAAGTTGACGCACTCCTTGCGAAGACTCTCAAAGGCGCTGAACATGTTCGTCTCCACTCGTCGACACGCCTCCTCAACCACATCGGGTTCAACCTTCCGATGCAGCTTTTCCCGCATGCTCACGATTTCCTTGTAGTTGGCGGCGACGATGCTACCAAGCGATGCATTTCTCACATTGGGCAGTCGAATGGCGGCTTCCACAGCGTCTACACGCGGCGTCAACGACGCCAAGGTGCCGTGAAGATCTTTGTTCCATGCCGTTTGGATGACATTCTCGCGCTCTAGTGCCGCCACAGTCGTCTTCAGCTCGTCAATGTCCTTTGCTTGATGTTCAAGTGTATCCAAAAGTCGCTGAAATGTGCTCTCAGCCGCCCGCATGTCCACGAGATCCGCCAACGACATGCGCCCCATCTCAAACTTTGCACAACTTAGTGTAATATGATGGCCAAGATATCGCTTGCCCATTGGTCAATATATGTGATGAATATCCGCCAATGACGTCCCAGTATTTCTGGCACACTATAATTTTAATAGGTTGAAAAAAAATATGATTACAAAAGAAAAACTATCATATTCCGTCTACAATTCGTCGTGGTCTTCGTCGTCGTCGTCGTCGTCGTCGCCGCCCGCGCCGCCGGCGCCGCCCGTGGATTGGTAGACCTTGGACATGATAGGGTTGGCCACCTTCTCGACGGCCTTTTGCTGCGCGTCGAAGTCCTCCTTGTCCGCCTCCTGGTTTTCGTCCAACCAGTCCATGGCTTCTTGCACCGCCTTCAACAGCGTGTCCTTGTCGCCTTCTTCAATCTTGTCCGCCAACTTGTCTTCGACGTTGTTCTTCAAGTTGTATAAGTACCCTTCCAGCGAGTTGCGTCCGTCGATGCGGTCCTTGATCTTCTTGTCTTCTTCCGCGTTTTCCTCGGCCTCTTGCACCATGCGGTCAATCTCTTCCTGGGACAAGCGGCCCTTTTCGGCCGTGATCGTGATCTTCTCGGCCTTGCCCGTGCCCTTGTCTTCCGCCGACACTTGCAAGATACCGTTGGCATCCACTTCAAACGTCACTTCGATCTGGGGCACGCCGCGAGGAGCCGGCGGGATCCCGGTCAATTCGAACTTGCCGAGAATGTGGTTGTCCTTGGTCATCGTGCGTTCGCCTTCGTACACTTGGATCGACACGGCCGGTTGGTTGTCTTGGTACGTCGAGAACGTTTGCGACTTCTTCGTGGGGACGACCGTGTTGCGGTTGATGATCTTGGTCATGACACCGCCGACGGTTTCAATTCCCAACGACAACGGGGCCACGTCCAACAACAAAATGTCTTGCGTCGTGGCGTCGTTTTCACCGCCCAAAATACCACCTTGGACAGCCGCACCGTACGCGACAGCTTCGTCGGGGTTGATGCCGCGGGAAGGTTCCTTGCCGTTGAAGAAGTCCTTGATCAATTGCTGGATCTTGGGGATACGCGTGGACCCGCCGACAAGCACAATCTCGTCCACTTCGTTCTTCTTCAAGCCAGCATCCTTCATCACCTTTTCCACGGGGCTCAACGTCTTCTTGAACAAGTCGTTGTTCAATTCTTCGAAACGCGCACGGGTCAACGTCTCGTCGAAGTCTTCGCCGTCCAAGAGCGATTCGATTTCAAGGCGCGCTTGGGGCTGGGTCGACAACGCGCGCTTGACACGTTCGGCTTCACGGCGGAGCTTCTGCAACGCGCGCTTGTCGCTGGAAATGTCAATCTTCTTTTGCTTTTGCCACTTCTTGATGAAGAATTGCATGATGCGTTGATCGAAATCTTCACCGCCCAAGTGCGTGTCACCGTTGGTCGACAACACCTCAAACACACCACCGTCGATGGTCAACAACGTCACATCAAAGGTACCGCCGCCCAAATCGAACACCAACACGTTCTTTTCGCCCTTGGCCTTTTTGTCAATGCCGTACGCAATGGCGGCAGCCGTGGGTTCGTTGATGATACGTTGCACGGTCAAACCAGCAATGGTACCGGCATCCTTGGTGGCTTGGCGCTGCGCATCGTTAAAGTACGCGGGCACGGTCACGACAGCGTCGTGCACTTCCTTGCCGAGGTAGTTTTCGGCAATGTTCTTCATCTTGGTCAAGATCATGGCCGAAACTTCTTCGGCCGAGAATTGCTTCTTCTCGCCCTTGATGACCACTTGGATGAACGGGCGTCCTTCCTTGTTGACGATTTCAAACGGCAACAGCTTCTTGTCCGCTTGCACCGACTTGTCGTTGTATTGGCGACCGATCAAACGCTTCACGTCGAACAACGTGTTTTCGGGGTTGATCGTGGCTTGGTTCTTGGCACCGTCACCGATCAAGCGCTCGTCGTTCGAGTCCCACGCCACGTACGACGGGGTGATGCGGTTACCTTGGTCGTTGGCAATGATTTCCACCTTGCCGCCCGAGTAGTGGCCCACGCACGAGTAGGTGGTACCGAGATCGATACCGATCACAGGGCCCTTGGGTTCATCCGCCATGGCTGTGGACATGAGGCATGCCGCCAGGAAGCCTGCGGCATACGCGAACGTCTTCATCAAGTTCATCTTTCCTTCAGTTGGCAAATTCGAAACTGGCCTAACTATGCTTTCATGGAACTCTGCGGTTGCTACGTGGCAAGGTGGCTTTTGTATATGACTCTCAAACCCTCTACAATTTATATTATCCCCATCCCAGCGCCACGTCAGCACCGATGTATACTTTACAACAAGGTATGTTTTGATACAGGTTTATTCCTTTGAGGTTTTCTATGGGAAAGTATTCCTCTTCTATGAAATGGCACGTGTATCGCTTTGGTGGAATATATTCATTATAACAGGTTTTCGCCCCACCACGTGGCCTTCAATGGATTTGTGGAACGTTCGAGAGAAGGTTCAACGACTTTACCAAAGATCGCATTTCGGGCGGCATGGACTGTGAGTGTGGCATGCTCCTCTGGCATGATGCTCTTCCTCCACATGCTCATTACCAAGCTTCATGCGGTGAGAGCGCCATGGAACTCCCCTGATGGGAGTCGCATGGCCCTGCGCAGATCCACATCGACCGTCGTGCAGTAACACCAGCCACGTGTCCACTCTTTGTATATGAAGCACAGGTGTAACCAGTTGATGCGATTGGCAATACACCATGAGTAGGCGAAGGACACAGGAGTTCGTTGTCGTAGCGCACAATACTGTCATTCCAGCAGCATTCGTCCACTAGCAGTAGTTAGGCTACGTTCGTGGATTTGCATGTGCTTCGCTGGTTTACATTTTCATTGACATTTGGAGGTGATTAATTGATTGGTCAATTTGCAGCCAATCATATTTCGGCTGGCGGAAGTCTATAAATAGTGGGGATACACTTGAACAACTCACTACCAAACTGGGCGATATGGCACAGCTTAGTGGCGACGACGTCCAGGTAGATGTACATTTCACACTCCCAGGACGGGCTAGTCCTCACAAGGTAGCATGCTTGGTCTCTTGCCGTGGTAGCTCTGCGATGACTTGCGGTTTGCGATTGCGCAGCTGGAACCAGATGCACTAGAAGGCAAAAGCACACTGGAAATCCAGTGCCTCGCAGACGTGTACTCGATCTTTGGCTACGGCACCGACGATATCGTGGACAAACGCGACCAGATCGTCATGTTCACCAAGATCCGCACGGAAATGATGGGCGTGTTGCATCAGATGACCACGAAAGGTCGCTACGCCCATGCGATTGTCTTGCGTGACCGGCTACGCCTCATCCGCCGGGAGTTTATCCATCTCCAGCAAACATACGAGAAGGTTTCTCATCCATCTGCATCGTCACTTGACCCGTGTCCTTCTAGCGGCGACAAGACGTCGAAGGCGACCACTTCCTGGACGCCATCGCCCTCGTCCGCACTAAACACGATGCCAAGTGGGTTCAAAAGCACGCCGACGTGGACAGCAACTGCGACTGGCGCCGGGAGGACTTGGCCAAAACGCACATGATCCAGACGCGACAGCTGGAAGACTACCTGGATCGCATCCACGAGCCCATCGTCAAGTTCTCCAAGACACTGCTCGACCTGAAAACATCCGAGCGCAATCTGTCCAAGCTACAGCTGTACGAGCAGGCGAAAAATGTCTACACCCGCGCCGACGCCATGGAAAAAGTCGAGCGCCTCAAGAACACCCAAGTAATCGATATCGATAGATATAATTGTATATAATTGTATATCCCACCGCCATCGTTATTCCCTTGACGTTTGTGGTCTTTGCTTAGGAATTCCACCGACACAAGCAAAAACAGCGAGAGGACCTACGAGCCAAGCAACACGCAGAGCAGAAACAACTCGAGGAAGCGCTCACGGACAAGCAGTATGCGACGCTGCGGGCAAAAGACTGGGACACGAAGCGGTACTTTTACTGTATTGCACGACGACTTGCCACGTCATGCATGCATGTGTGTGTGTGTCTTATAGGGAATCGCAACGTGTGAAGAACCTCAAACGAGACATGCACCACGCTCACGCGTTGGACCAGCACAAACCGCCCGAATTCACCACGCACCCCCTCGTGGCCCCCCGCGACCACCTCAAGCAAACGTCCAGCACGTTTGGCGGCCAGCACTTTCTGAGCCTTGTCCGCGGCGAACGCCTGCAAGTGCAGAGTTTGTGCGCGTTGCACGATGCGGAAGAAGACGCGGTGCCGTCTGGAGCCGTACGTGTTGTCCTCTCGCTCTAACGTTATACGGGAAGTCCTTTAAACAATCAGTGTGTTTTAGGTCGTGTATTCTTGACGTGACGACGACAGCGCTTAAGCGGATCGATTGGTCGTGGCTAATAGTACACACTGTCACATCCAACGTTGGTGTTGTAGTCGAAACTCCTTGGTTTCGATGATGTTGTTGCTGCCGTTGTATGTTCAAGTGAATAATGTCAGGGTCATCATGCTGAGACTGTATAAGGCAGTGCAATGTATATAAAATGTATATCCTTCGCACAAGTAAGTGCATTGTTTGATATAATGACACTGGACATGTTGACGTTCATCATATAGTATATCACGTCGCGTTTTGGAATGCTGTGCGATTCACATAGTACTCGTTCAACTTGCACAACAGACTTTGCAGCACATTGTCGCATTAATTAACCAGATGCGACGTCGTCGTCCTTACTGTCGTCTTGGCTCTCGTCATCGCCATCGTCATCGTCACCATCGTCGTCATCGTCGTCACTTGGCGTAACATTGGATTTTGGCGCATTTTCGTCGTCCTCGCTCTCGTCGGCTTGCAAGATGCGATTCTGAAACGCTTCCTTGGCCCTGGCCAGTGCGTCGCGCTTGTCCTTGTTGGCTTCCCGCAGCGCCTGCTTCCTCGCTCGCTCTTCGTCCACGATGCGCTGGGCCTCCTGCACATGAAAGTTCTCTTGAAGGTCATCGGCGCGGAAATCGTCGCGGACGCGCATGAGTCTCCGCATCAACACTTCGTCGTGGGCGTCGATCCCGAGCCAATGCGATTTCGCCTCCATCGCAGCCTCTGTTCAAATGAATAATCAGACGACGAGTTGAATCAGACTCAGATCTCTGAATGGTCGAATCAGATTTGGTATCAGGTTGTAGTACGTACCCCCCAACAAACACGGCTGCCACTGCTCTTTTGCGTACACGTGGAGTTTGCCGTTGTCCATTTCAATCTCCACTTGCCCTTGGCCATAGATTCGATTCATGCGAAACCCTCCCTTGTATTTGTACCCCAACCTACGAGTAACTCGAACACGATAACCGGGTACGACGCGACCGCGAGTCGTCATTCGTTTTATACGTACGGGCTAGATTCGACGCCGAGGCCGTGCCGTTGGTTTTTGTAAAACTCTCCTTCGTACGTTGCCCCCGATGGCAGCGTGAGCCGCCCTTTGCCATCCCGCATGCCATGTTTCCACTCGCCCGCGTATTCGATCCCACTCTTGGACGACCACTTGCCTTGACCGTGGTACTTGCCCTCTTTCCACTGCCCCACATACGCCGTTCCGTTTGGGTATTCCTACTCAATCAGTCACACAACGACCTCTTGTCGACGAGCGTACGGCCGTGCCCATGCCACACTGCACGCTGTCCTTCCACGCGCCCGTGTACTTCCCCCCATCCGCAAACTCGTACACCCCCACAGGCCCTCGCATGTGCCCGTCCTTCCACCGCCCGTTGTACGCATGATACAAGTGTTTGCCGTGGCTTTCGACTTTGCCGGGCACGGCGGGGGCGAGTCCGGGGGGCGCCGCCGTGAGTTTCACAGGCGCAATGGGAATCACTTTGGCGGTCGGGTCGTCCATGTCGTCCTTGTCCGCCACCACCGCGAGCGGCGTATCATCGTCTTCGTTGATCCTGTTGTTGTCCTGTCGAAGCAATGGATGGACCACACTCGTTGAATCGGCGACGTGGAGTTTTGGCGCGGGAAACGACGCCGTCCGGTACGCCCGCTGCAACAACGATTGGTTCTACGAAGGGAAATGAATAATACAAATGTCAACCAAAGCTAGCCCAGGAAATAATCCGTTTTGGATCCTTTTATCAATCGAATCACACCTGCTCTCGAGGGCCTAGTTGAAGACACGCCACGCGCTTGACAAACGCCTGGTGGCTCTGCACGGCTGCCTCCGTGTCGTTGAGGCGCTCCGCTTGCGCCAAGTAGGCTGCTTCGAACCGATCAAACAGCTTTTGGCCGTACTTGTTGAGCACGAGCTGGTTGGACTTTAAGAACCAAGGCGCAAACTACAACGAGCACATATGGGGCATCATGACGTGGCGTGCATCTGCAGAAACGACCTACTCGAGCGTGGCGTTCTGGCAGCCCCACCCGCCGCAGCATGCTGTGGTAATACACACAGCGGGGGTCTTCATCTTTGTATTTCTACGTCCAGCGTCCAGCGACAACCTTCACGACATCATGCAAGCTATGCAACTAAGTACCCGAATCCACTGGGGAATGTTCTTGCGCTCTTTACGCAGCAGCACATTCACGTCTTTCATGAGCTACCAAATGCAAAGTGCAGTTTCATACTATCGACGAAGCACGAGGACGAGGCTTGCCTTGGTGAGCTCCTCCTTACGCAGTTGGGCCGCGGCCTTGGCTTTGATCACGTGGGGGTTGTACATGCCCTCGCGCTTCATGGTGCGTCGCTCCCGCTCCGCTCGTGCTTTGGCCCTTGCCCGACTCGCCGCGCCCATTCCTTGCCGCATCGCCTTTAGCTGGTCGGATGCGTCCGCGCCCATTCCTTGCCGCATCGCCTTTAGTTGGTCGGACGCGTCCGCGCGCACATGCTTGGTCCAGCCATCCAGCTCCATCTTAGCAATGCCCGCGAGGAGTGTCAACGCTTCACCACCGGCCGACGGCGCCTCCATGGTGCTGTGAAATGACGAAACTGCCACCGTTTCGGTTTACATTTATGCGCAGGGGCAACAATAGTAATGTGAAGTCGAGATTATTGACGAACAGTTTTCTGCGACGTGTTGTAGAATCGACGACAGAAGTGCACATGACTGTACGAATGCGGAATTCACGATGCTGACAGCACCCCATGTCCATGTCTACTATCATGGCGCACTGCAGCTACACGTCGTTGTCCCTTCGTCCGCAGCCACTGTGTAGCCCATCTACCCATGCAGCACTGTATGTACAACTAACGTTCACACCCATGCGATGACGATACCCGAAAGTGCCCTTCTGTGTTCTTTACTAGGAAAACTTGAAGGTGCCATCCTACTGATCTATTAAGGTGCACGTCGAGTGACGCCATCTTCCTACTAACGTTAGTGCACACATGGACACAAGCGACTACGCGCCAGCATGCACATGCGTACGTTCGCACGTGTAAACATACATGATTAAGGTCTCTCAGTGTTTTGAATACTTGTTTCCACACAGAATGATGCGTATAAGCATCGTTCAGAATTAGCATGGTTGTGACATCATCGAGATCCATTGTCGTCTACACCTACTCCCTACGTTTGCATCAAAAGTTAACCTGCGCGCTGCTCGACCTGAATGAAAGTGGCCAACGTGGACATGAGCAATCAAGTTGGCCTTCTGACCAGTCAAATTATCGGCAATGTACGGTCACAGTGTCGTACATGTTGTATGATGTACGATATTTATCCACCGACCGGATAAACCGATGACCGGATAATATTGTTATCGCCATGTCGGCGCGAGATCGACAAGTCGCGCAGGACCTGGCCCAAGCATGCCGTGAGACGGCTGCGCAAGCTATTGCTGCGACGACGGCATCAGGGCAAGCCAGTGTTGTGTACCACAACCGAGGCAAGTTTGGCAGCAGAAAAGAGGTACACACAGGAATCGTTGGTTATTTGATTTCACGTCGTCCTCAGGCCATGAATGCCAAGATTGCTGCCGCGAAAGCCAAGCGGGAGGCCAAGGAAGCTGGAGGGGTGTGATGAAGGACTCTAACGTTATATCTAGTTTTTCCTTAACGAGATGACTATTCTTACCTACTACCTACTGGTAGTCTTAGTTATGCGTTGCCCAGCAAAAAATATCATCAAATCCCAATCAATCTACTCTACTGTACTTTGAAGCAGAACATTGGCCAAGCGCATACCTTGTCGCACACGACGCCATGTTGATGTGTACCCTGAGCAAGGCGATAGAATTAGTTCGACTTGCCATTGAAACCCCTTGCACGATGATATCAAAATCTATTTTTGTCCATCTCAACCTCGTAGCACACCATTGCATTTTTCAGGCTGTTGATCATGCTTCCTCGCTGCGTCTTCTTCTTTCTCGTCATAGCCTGGGTGCCGTCCACTTTTGCAGCGTCGTTTGAGTTCCGCAGCCAATGTTCGTACCCCGTCGACGTGTACGACAACGCTGTCACATGCACTTTGCAGCCCAACTCGACTGGATGTGGGGTCACAGCCAACGCCCCATGGAGTGGCATGTTTCGCCATAGCTCGAATGAGCAAGCCACATGTACCCAATCCCCTTTAACCCTCGTCTCATGCCAATTGATGTGTCTTGGATCTAGTGGCCGAGTTTTCCATCGCGGGGGGGAAAGTTTGGTACGACATCAGCACCGTGCCCCCAGGGGTACGCCGTCGTCCTGTGATCACCATGTTGCCTTACACATCTAACTAGTCTGGGACGTGCACGAGCCTCGCTGAATGCATGCGCGTGACGGCCAAGGTCGGGTTCAACGTCGCCATGAGCATCTTCCCCAACGGCCCCAGTCGCAACGACCCAATGTACAACTGCCAGTACGTCGTCTGCTACGCCAACGGATGCCACGACGCGTACCAGTACCCATCCGACGACATTAAGACCAAGAGCTGCCCCGACACGACCAACTTTGTCGTCACGTTTTGCCCCGACTTGCCGCCGTAAACCTGACCAACGTGCATGTTTCAATAGTTTATATTCCTACTAACGTTACTAGTACTACAATAGTATTAATGGTACTCCCAAAGTGCAAAGTGCTTTAGTTCGTATCTACTTCAAGGAGTAGTGCTCCCGAAGTGCAAAGTGCTGTACTACTACTACTACTACTACTACTACATACACAAGTACTACGTAGTAAGTACTACAGAAGAGTACGAATCAATCAATTTCATCTTTACTCAATATTGTTGCCGCTCCTACTTCTTAAGTAGTCATATCTAGACAAAGCGGCACACGACCGTGGGGATTTTGTACACGACGTCGTCGTCGTCCGAGCACGACGTTTGAAACTCAACAAACGGGCGGTCGCAGTCGACGAGGCGCTGGTACCGCTCTTCGACCCATTCCCGAAGGGGCACGTCCAGCTTTTGCTTGTACAGCGCCTTGAGCGACGCACTGAACGCCGTGCGGTCGTACAGCATGAGGCCGCGCACGGCGGCGTACTCGTCGCCGCCCAACTCGGCCACGGGATGGAAGAGCAAGTTGACGTTCAGCCCTACTTGGGTTTGCACCTGGTCGAGAAACGCGGCCAACGTCACACCCGGTTGCACCTAATGCCACCACAACCAACCAACTTAACGTTTGGTTATAAAGTGCAATTTCGTACCGTGACCAACGTCGTGTCCCACTTGGTGAACCCCGCGGGTTTGCACTTGACTTCAGACATTTCAATCATATCGTACTCATCCTTGGCCTTTTCTGGCTCGGCCGGTTCTTGGAGGAGGTACATGTTGAGTCCGAGCGAGTTGGACGAATCTTTAAACTGGTCGAGCGATTTCCCCTGCACAATCTTGAGCAGCTCAATCATGGCCAGCCCTGTGACACTGGCGGTCGTGGTTGCAATCGCCGGGATGATCTTGCCTGCAATCATCTTGCATTTGTGACGGGACACTTGCTTGATGCGGTAGTTCCACGCGCGGAGGTTTGCCGCGGCTGCGATGAAGTCAATGTGGAAGTTCAGGTCGTTGTCTTTTTCAAAGTCGGCGGCCACGTAGCGGGCGGCCGCCGCCAGCTGGCCCGCCGTGAGCGCGCCGAGCTCGTTCAACAGCCGCTCCAGCTCGCCCACGTCGTCGGCGTTGGTCGCGCGCTCCTCTTGCTGCTTTTTGAGCGCTTCGTCGTTCTCTGCAATGGTTTCCGACGAAGGCACCCACGGCGCCAGCGGATGCGCCTGGCCGAACGCGGCAAATGTGTCCACTTGGCGCAAGTACGACGACTCGGGCACGACTTCGTCCTCGGGCGGTGGCTGCAGCCCAAAGTTGACAGCGTACAAGTTGGCCACAGATCGGATAAAGTCGGCATGGTACGCGTTGCCAAAGTCCACGGCTGTGGCGGCCTGGGGAAAGCGCTTGGCGCCAGACCAGAACTTCTCACCCGTTTTGGTCTGGTGGTCCTCGGGGAAGTTGTGGATCAGCTGCAAGATGCGGTCGCGGAACAGCGACGTAAACAACGTTTGGGCGAGCGCAATGCAGTCTTCAAACTCGACTTGGGGCTTGGTCACGAGCGCATGGAGTGCGCGCACCCTAGTCTCTCATACACTATTATAAGTCTTCGATTGCAATCGTGGGTTTTATCGATTATATATCAGCGAGTTTTATCTTGTCAAGATATTCAAAAGTGGAGTGTTTCGGTGGAGCTCTCAATCGAATGACCAGAATCGAGATACGACCAATCAAAACCCACAACACTATTCCAGTACCCAATCAAATCCACTCTTTCCACATCGAATTCGTGTGACTTCAATTAGTGTGATACTGGACGATCTTCCAAAAGTCTTCGATGGATTTCGTGAATCCGCACAAAGTCCAAATATATATATATATATATATATATATCGTGGTCATAGGACAATACCGTTCCAATTCACTTGGCACGGCCGACGCGCCCACTTTAGGGTTGGGGTGGTCCACCGTAGCCACCCGAATAACGTGCAAATACGTCGACGGATCCGAGGCAAACTTTGCCACGTCCGAGAAAGGCACGACAAACACATCTTCAAACTGGGCCCGGGCCCATTCGATGCAGTGCTCGATCAGCGACGGAAAGTTGCGCAGCGTGCACATGGGAATGTTATCGTCGGGGGCGTCCTTGGGTCCGTCGGCGTAGCTCGCCGTCTTGTACGGCAGCACCACCTACAATATATATATATATATATATATATATATATCAAACCCACCTAGACACTACTCACAATCCCATCTAAATCATCTCCACAAAAACACATATATTGGGGTCACGTACGAACCTGCACATTGCACTTGGTGCCGAGGGTACCACTCTCAAGCAACGGCTTCTTGTAAAACACGCACTTGGAGTCCACGTATAGCCGCGCCTTGATGTTGTCGAGCGCGTTCGTGACGAAGTCCACGTCGTTTCTCCAGAATGTATCGTTAAACACGTGCTCGGTCGTGGGCGCGACCAGATGCTCCAATGTCAGCACGTTTAGCGCGTCGTTCATGCGGCGGACGGCGGCGGTGGCGGCTACCGACTTGGGCTGGCCGACATTGTGCTCTCGAAACAGAAACTGCCGGTTCAAGTTGCTCACTTCGATGCGGTCGTTGTCTGTGACTGTAATCAGCCCCTTGGGCCCGACGCCGACGCCCACCATGGCAAAGTTCTTGAGGTATTCGCAGCCGAGGGCCCCGCATCCGACCAAAAATGTGCGCACGTTGGCTACAACGATATACAGATATAGAGGTATTGTTCATTCGAGTCGAAATTGGAGTGGGATTTGCTCAATCGAATGACCAGAATCACCAAATACATCGGCAGACAATCAATATATCGACCAATCAAAACACAAAACCATCATATCAACTAGCCAATCAAATCACTGTCCACTCTTCGAATACTTCAACATCGAATTAGTGTGTGATTGAAATTAGTGTGATATTGGACGATCTTACAAAAGTCAGTACAACGAATCGATCGATGATAGATTTGGCAAAGAATCAGCGCACAAAAGTAGTCCAAATCTCGGGTAAAAGGACAATATGGTTGTGTTTAACTGGAGCGACATGGAGAATGAATAATCGACACAACCAAATGTGCAGAAGAATTCAGCCAATCAGATTGCAGGAAACCATCGTCAACGTCAAATTAGTGTGTGATTTCAATTAGTGTGAGACCAATTTTTTACATACAAAATTCAGAAGTACAAATACTCGATCGATAGATTTGGCAAAAAATCAGCGCACAAAAGTCCAAATTTTGGGTAAAAGGACCATGTAACTGGAGCAACATGGTGACTGAATGAATGTACGATCGATCTAATCAAATAAATGTACTACACAAGAATCATCGACAGTAGGAGATTGAGCCAATCCGATTGCATGATCAACATATAATTAGTGTATGACTTCCATTAGTGTAATTACAAGCACCGCTTTACAAAGTTCACAGAATCGATCGATTTGGCGAATCCGCACAAAACATCCATTTTGGGGGGTAAAACGACTAAATATTCGTTTTCAAGGTTTTCCCAATACTTTGTCAACGTACCCAATTGATGGTGAAACGACAGACCAAACAGCTGGATGATATGGTCGTAGCGGCTATTTTGACGCGCCACGTCATCCGGGCGTGCCTCTGGCAGCACTTCGGCGAAATCCAAGTGCATCCACTGCTTCAACGGCGTAAACTTTCCCGTAAACTTGACCACTTCCTGCGCGATCACGCCGCCGTAGAACGCCGCCAGTGGATGCAGCTCAATGCGCGCCACGTGGGTGAGTTGCCGGAGCAGTTTCTCGTCCACTTGGTCTAAGCGAATCGGATCGACGTCCACGCCAGGGATCGCAGACGGCCCCGCCTTGGCATATCCCACCTACAAAACAACATTCAGCCAACAACGCACAGGGGTATGGACAGCAAAACCCGACCACTTCATCCGCGTCGTCGTCGTTGTACAGTCGGGGCAAGTACCCGTGCTTGGCTTCAAACTCGAGGAGTCCCCACACAAGCAAATGCAGTTGCTCAGCCCGTCCTACTGCAACGTCAGCCATCCCACTATCTATTGTCTTTCAATTCGAAACAAACGGAACAAAAGCCTGAGCCAATCAAATCACGTCATGCCGAACATTTTCAGCCAATCCAAACGTTTGACCCGTCCGCATGGGGGGCAAACCCTCCCCCATATATATATATATATACAAATCGATGTATAGTATTATAGCGATGATCACATAGATTTGAAAGAGTTTTGATTCTCTCAAGTCATCACATATATGGCGTAGTATACCGAATTTGGCGCCGTCCGTGAACATGAGCCCAAAATCCCCGGGGTGGATTGGCGACACCTAACAAAACAAGGCCCGTCTCCATTTGTTGAAAAAGGGTGTTTATGTACCAATGTTTCATGGAACGATCGAAAATGCGTCGTGAATGGCTGCTTGCTCTGCGTGAACATGCCGCCGCCGACGTATGGCGAGAAGCGGCGGGTGCCCCCGACCAGCTTGAGATGGTACGGATCGAATACCGGCACCTGCTTGCCGTTGCGAAACACATTTTTGGACGCAAACTTGATGCGATACGGTCCCATCGTGTTGATGTTCTGGGTCGGGTCGTCCAGGTTCACCATGCCCTCGACTTCACTACAGATATATTTGTATCACTCCCAGGGCTTTAAAATGCAATATATATATATATAGGTCATCAAAAATGATATATTTATGACACGGAATGATTGATATTGCCAAATCGATTCGAAGCTGGAACCCTCATCAGAATGTGTTGGGAGAGTCGATGCAAGAACCGCCTGAGCCAATCGAATCACGTCATGTCGAATATATTCTGCCAATCCAAACGTTTGACCCGTCCGCAGTGGGCAAAACCCCATATATACTAATCTTTGTATGGTATAGTGTGAACAAGATTAAATAGGATCCAATAATGCCAAATTTGGGTGAAATGCACGACACATATATACTAATCTTTGTATGGTATAGTTAAATAGGATCCAATAATAGATTCCAAAGCAAGCTATTTGGCCAAATGACGTCCAAATTTGGGTGAAATGCACGACATGAAATGTTTACGGCATCGAATAATACCTGATGTCGATCCACCCGTCGTGGTCTGAATCTGGCAGCTCGTGCATTTTGCCGTCGTCGTCCGGCCCCAGTAGCGACACGAGACCGTCGTCGTCGCTGGATATGTCCGTGATGATGCGCGTGATGGGGTTCTCCCCCGTGGCATCGTGGGTCAAGAACGCCGGCCCAAAGTCCGTGAACGCATACCCGAACGCGCCTAAATTGTTGTCGAGTACATACACGACGGACGATGCGTACCTCGAATGTCGCAGGTGATGAACCCAATCGCAGGCGACTGCGTGCGGCAGAATGCGTCCCATCGAATCAATTCGTCGCGACCCGTGTGGGTAAACACGACGACGTTGTGCTTTCGCACGACCTCCTCCGTCAACGGTCCGGTGTGGGCTTTGACCGTCACCGTCTTGTTGAGTTCGGCCACCTACATACACGCATGCATGCTCGAAAGATATGGATCGACGCATGGGGTGCGCGTAATAGGACGTACGCGATGCAGAACCGCAGAACTGCGAGGCGTGCCAACGTCCGCTTCCGTCAAGAAGAAGTTTACCCCCACGTCTTGGATCTCCGTGAGTCCATCTACACCACAAGTTAGAGACGTGCCGTATATATGCTGGGTACACTCTACCGTCGTGAATCGTGATGGCACCAGGTCCAGCGAGGATCAAGTTCTTGGTGCACTCAATGCCCACCCCACGCATGCCGACAATGAGCACCTTCAACTTGACCAACTTGGCCATGGTTTCCAGCCCAAACGCGCCGATTTGTCGGCTGTACTTGTCCATAAATCCTGCATCTCCTTCAAGGGTTTCCATGGCAGTTCGTCGTTTCTTCTGCGGCCGCTCGTCCGTGAGAATCGTGGTGACTTCGAGACGAGAAATTCGTATCTGACGACGTGTGGTCGTGCAATTTAAATCAAAACCCGAAATGCACACTTGGAATTTGTATAGCTGTCTCCAGTCTTCTTTTTTATTGAATTCGAATTTTAGCCAATCCAAATCATGCTACGAGAAATGATTTCGTCCAATCCAATCGATTTGTTTGTTAACTGGGCACATATTTGTGTCGGTCCACCATGCAATCTCGGCGCAACGTGAATCGATCGATCGATGGACAAACAAGATCACGTTAGAATGCAAACTCAATCTTCAAATGTTTCGACTTTGAATTTTCTCATGGCCGCACCAAGAATACTACGTTTACCGTATAGTGTATATGTATTGCGACGGATAATAATCTATTGCGACTCCTGTAAGAACTGATAGTTTTCTTGTAATAACTGATATTTACTTGTGAATATGTTGAATATACTTCAAATTTGTATGACGCAATGGATTAACAAAATTTTGACAACGAGTGTCGGAATATCACCTGTCGCAATACATATACAGTATACGGTATGTATACTGTAACTTGACAGCTGCCCTATCCATTGCACCCACTTGTCAACAACCTACACATTTATTTCATTTGCATATATATATTTCAAACCACATAATTCCTTTTTATTACTGTCATATTGCGTATCTTCGCCATGAAATTTACCACAGCCCCGTAGCACTTGCTACATACTAGTACCAGTAGGGTATATTATAACGGCGACTCCCACGCTTTGTGTGAGCGTTGGTTGGCGGGGTGGAGTCGTCGGTAACATTATTGATTGGGATTGTCAAAGCCAGGCCAATAACGCGCTCATGACACCATATTTTCACGTCATTTTTCAATGCAAAAGACTTACGTTTTGCACGCCACACTCAAGAACTCAATGCTAACTATATGCCCTCCGACTACAGACAAGTAAGTATAAATATAGATTGCCAAATCTGGCCTGCTGGTGTCGCGACGGCGGTGGTGACAGAACTCGCCATGGATCCTGAAAACCACGAGCACATGCTGTATCAGGCCAAAGCTCAGATCGACTTGGGGGGCACGGCTGTGGCGAAAACCATAGGCAAACTCCTTGGTCGACAGGCGTCCACGCGTATCCTACAGCGCCTCACGCGCCCCTGCGCCGTCCACTACCCAAACTTGCACGTCGCCACCAAGTACACGGCCGCGTACTTGCGCGCCTGCCGCGCATTGTTTCGACCGGTGGACAGCCACGGACACATGGCCCTGCACCACCTCCGACCAACGCTGGAGCGTCATGGGTTGCTCGGACACGACGACGACAATGCCAATGTGGACGCGTGGCTGCAACGCCCCCAAGATGGGCACATCACGTTCCCCGACTTCGTCGACGCATGCTTTACGCTCGTGGGCCCGTCTCTGGCTGCCAAGTGGGTCAGCAGAGGGGGCAGTACCGGGGACAACTGGCGTGCTGCGTCGAGCTTGTCGAACGTGTCGATTGCCGACGCCAAGGTTCAGCATCATCCATACGATGCCATGATGGACCAACACAGACACGCAGTGGGGTTTTCCTATGAAGCCCATGCTGCCAACAACCCGGTAACGTCGACTTGCCAAAGGAGGCTGTACTGTATATCTCAACCAACCTGTATCCTGACGTACAGATCCAAGCTCAAAGGCAGCAGGACATCACGACGCTGTCCCATTCGCACAGCCTCGTCATGGACACTCCCTATCGGTGCATTCGACGAGTCGTCAGCGACCAAGACTTGCACGACCAAGTACTCGTACCTGTCGCGTTTAAATCCTACCATCCCACGTTTAGGCGGCGGCGGAAGTCGCAAAGAAGGCGCTCAAGGTCAAGACCCAGCGGCACTTGGCTGCCACTCAACGGTGCTCGCTGCAGTTTGGTCAAGTACGAGACAATGAGTATGGGGCTATCGTAGGCACTCTCTCGAACAGCGCACTGCGAGTGCACGGAACTTTGCGTGCAGCGTAGGCATGGTCGCCCGCCACATTCAAATTGGCGGTTCTTCTTCAAACACGAGGAGAATATGTCATATATTGACGCAATGTGGTAGAAATCAAGGAGAAGCGACAGATGGGACATCAGGAGAAAGTGGCCCATGTGCATCGGCGAAAGCACGAGAACCAGAGTTTGCGAGCGGAAATGGAAGATTTCAATGCCGTGGGTGTGCTTTAGGATGATTCTAGGACTCACAAAGCGATGTTGTGGACTGTCGTAGCGAGTCCAATTGACCAAGATACAAGACATGCACCTAATGAAAGCCCAGATGCACGACAAGCTCACCTTCGAGCAGCAAAAGAAGGTGTGTACGATGGTTATACCCTCAATCGAGGTTTCATTGCACGATGGCTAGGAATACAGGGAAGAAATGATCCGGCGGCAAAAGGATCTGTTTACCATCTCCGACTCGACATGCACCCTGCAGCGACGGCCGCCTGAATTGCTAGCGGCGTTGGCCGGAGTGCAAACGCCCAAGCAACAAAAGAGCCTCGCGATTGCGGAACACAGATACTTCGAGCAAAGCCGAAGCCAGCAACTGCGGGATTACAAGCACGACAAGGAAGACGCCAAGCCGAAGCGATATTTACGCGCACCGATCGTTGACGTGGACCAGCAAGATCCGGACGAGGGATGGCACAACGCAGAGGCGGAGCTCACGGCTGCGATGAATGCGTTGTATGCAGAATGGGTCCAGGAGCAGAGAGACCTTTCGCCCCTGATTCCCACGGCCAATTCGCCTCCTGCAGCACAGCGCTACTACGGCACCATCAAGCAAATGCCACCGTCGCCCTTCATGTCGTCCACGCAGCGATAAAGTTGAATTTGCCACGGTTTTTAACGTTCGTAACCTCTGTAATTTGATTCCTGGCATTTGATTGGCTACACGATGCCAATCAGCGACGTGGATTGGGTCAAATCAAATACTTCGAATCGATTTGACCAATCAAATCGTAATACTCCAATGCCGCCAACCAAAACACATAATTCGAAGTATAGTGAACCCAAGGCATTTGCAATTGGATACTGAACCCCATACCGCGAACGAGCCCGCGCAAAGATTTCCTGGGAGCATCGCCGACTAGTTGCCGACGGCGCCGCAACACATCAGGATACCAGCACGACGCATTCCCCTAGAAGCATGGACCAGTACGAGCATGTACGAGTGATCGGCAAGGGTTCGTTTGGGATCGTGAGCAAGATCCTAAGGAAAGTAGACAACAAGGTACGCGTTTGGACGCGGAGTTGGGCTTGATGCACCGTTTCCGTAGGAACTCGTGTGGAAAGAAGTCGACTACGGCCAGATGACGGAAAAGGAAAAGCAACTCATCGTGAGCGAAGTGAATATCCTGCGGGAACTCAAGCATCCCCACATCGTGCGCTACCTCGACCGCGTCATAGACAAACAATCGACCAAAATATTTATTGTCATGGAATACTGCGAAGGTGGCGACCTAAGCCGCCTCATCAAACGTCACCGAAGAGACGGGTATGTAGCCGCGACGAAGCCTGCACCGCGTAACAACACCATGCGTCGCTAGGACTTCCATCGACGAAGCCGTCATATGGAAAATCTTCACACACATGTTTCTTGCCCTGAAAGAATGCCATCGACACAAGGAAGGCAATGCCGTTCGGCCGATCTTGCATCGGGATATCAAGCCAGGGAACATATTCCTCGACGCCGAGGTAGGTGCATCCACACGACACACACAAGCAACATCGTCATTAGGGGAACGCGAAGCTTGGCGACTTTGGTTTGGCCAAGGAACTGAGCAGCGAGTCCAAATTTGCACAGACGAACGTCGGCACTCCGTACTACATGAGTCCCGTACGTGTGTCTGTCTAGCCATCCATCCATCCATCCATCCATCCATCCCTTCCTTGTCATCACTCATATCGCGCAGGAAATGGTCAATGAAATGACATACGACGAGCGGTCCGACATTTGGGCGCTCGGGTGTCTATTGTACGAGCTCGCCGCCCTCGTGTACGTACATGAAGCGTCTTGTGCGTTGAGATATATGCCCTCATGTGCTTGTATCTGCCGACAGCCCTCCGTTCGACGCAACGAATCAACTGGCGCTGGCCAAGAAGATCAGCGCCGGCAAGTTTTCCCGCATCCCGGACGAGTATTCCGAAGATCTGTTCCAAGTGATTCGATGGATGTTGCATCGGCAGGTTAGTCCACTGTCATGGACGACAGTTTGTTGCCATGTGACCGTTCGTCGGACGTATAGAGGTCACGGCGGCCGCGGATCGAAGACTTGGAGCGCGTGCCTATTTTGGTTCGTCGTCTGCGGGAGTACAACATGTCGTCGGTGGAAGTGCAGTTGCAAAACACGTACAGTCCACCACTCTGTCCATAGATCGAGGCTGGGACTAACATGGGTGGGTAAATGGGAGGTAGGTATGCTGCCAAGATGAAGGAGCTGTTTTCTATCCAAGAGGATTTGCAAAAGCAAGAAGCGCTGCTGTTGGTGCGCGAGACTCAACTTCACGGTAACGTTAATCCCATCCATCTCTCGTGTGTTAGATGATCATAAACGTGGAGCAAGTAGAACGGGAGACGGAATTGGGAAAGCGAGAGCACGACTTGAAACGCCGAGAACAAATGTATGTACATGTGTGATTGCCCCCAAATTTCCCATGTATCACACTAATTTCAGTCTCACACTAATTCGGTGTGGACGATTTAATCGAAGAGTGAAGGGTTGTATCGATGATTGTCGTCTGTCGATTTGGCTATTTTGCTCACATTCGATTGAGCACTTCAATTTCACATGTATCACACTAATTTAAGTCTCACACTAATTCGATGTGGACGATTTGGTCGAAGAGTGAAGGGTTGGATTGGCCACTTGATTCGTGTTGTGGGTTTTATGATTGGTCATCTGTCGATTTGGCTATTCTGCTCACATTCGATTGAGCACTTC